TAAAAGTTATTGTGTGTGTTATGTAATATTGTTTCAAAATTCAAAAATGTACTGCTGAACCAGATCTGGCATTTATGAGTACACATTTTTTGTTTTGAAAACCTACCAGTGGAGGGCAATGTGACTGAATAACATGTTTTAACATTGCTAGTGGAAGTACACTTGTTTTACTGCACTCAAAAAAATTATTATTTGGCTAAACTGAATACATATGTGGATAGAATTTTTGTTGTTGTTGTTAAGTGTTCTAATTAACTCACCTTAAAACCTTGTGTAGCATAAACCAAAAGTAAATTAGTCTTTTTCCGTTGCTAGCAAGCAACAGTGCACGTTAGCATGTTATATGTACATTTCTAGTATATAATGTACGTTGTTGAAACTTTTAAACCCCAACAGACCATTAAACTCTAAAAAGTCATCTCTCATCTCATCTCAAAAACACACTCTTCCCATCCAGTCCAATGCAAAGCATGCTGGGAATTAGCAGTCCCCCATTCCAAATTTCACTATTTGTGTATAATAGTCCCAATACACATGCATTAAACTTCTATTTACAAAATTAAGTGGATTGCATGCAATAAAATTGTGACAGAATTTATTGAATTGAGCTGCTTTACTTTATTTTAATTAAATAAATATAAATTAATAAAATAAATTAAACTAAAAATTAATTTGAGTGACAACACTGGAAAAATGAAATGATCACGACAAAATATGTTTTACATTATTATTTTTAAGCAATTTCAACTTTTTTATATAAATTATACAAGATTCAACACTTAAGTAGTTAGGTTTATTATAATTTAATTGTAAATGACTTGTACAGCCAAACTGATTATGATTAGAAAATGTAAGGCAGCAACTGAATAAAAAATTTTAATAGGCTAGGTGGAATTTTTTTAACAGTAAAGGAAAAGTTACTGAAAAGTATGTTTTAATAATGCTCCTAAAATATCAATAGGCCTATTGAATTCTGTGTTGGGCCCAGTCCATGGGTAGGCTATAGGCCTACACGGTTAGATAGTTAAATCTACCCAGATTCTATAAATCCACCATCCACACTTTAGTAGCCTAATATAAAATATGTCGAAATGTTAAAAGACTTTTATGTTTTATAATAGATATAATTCAAGCTTATTTTGATTTGGGTAACGTGATCGCTTGTTGAGATTATTTGTGTTCCCTCTTTATCGTATGATTGACACGAGAGGTTGTGAAGTGCCGCTAGTTCCCACAAAATGCTTCCGCGCGCAGTTTAGCGGATAATTAAATTCTAAATCGAGTTAAACCGCTCAAAGAAAATCTTGATGCCTCTAGTTTGAAAGTCGACACCGCGAGTAAAGCCATAGAACACAGAAAAGCGGCCAGCTGCGTCAAACAAGTGTGCGCTTTGAGCCCGCGAGCAGCGGCCACGACGCCAGTCTACTACAGGACAAGGCCTCGAGACGCGTCTGCAGTCTCACGAGCTGTTTTGACAGGATAATATCCGTCTGAGCGAGCGGAAACATGCATATTATAAATCGTCTCACTTGGGGATTTCGAATTCGGTTTATTCCCATGAGACCACCAGTTCATAAACAAATAGAAGAACCAGCAAGACAACGGGACACATTACCTTTACTTCAAGACTTCTGAGGCCTCAGCCTCACTGCCTTTATGGGACTCTTCCATCACTGTAACCTTTACCTTAAAGGGATAGCTCACCCAAAAATGAAAATGTTGTCATCATTTACTCACCCTCATGTTGTTTCAAATCTGTTCGAGTTTCTTTCTTCTGTTGAACACAAAAGAAGATATTTTGAAGAATGTTGGTGACAGTTGATGGCACCCATTGACTTCCATAGTAGGAAAAAACATATTTTGCTGTGTTCAACAGAAGAAAGAAACTCATACAGATTTGAAACAGCATGGGTGAGTAAATTATGACAAAATTTAGATTTTTGGGTGAACTATCCCTTTAACAAAGGATATGCTATATCAGAGGCCTTGACATGCAGGTTTTCAGTTCATGACTGACCATTCGTTAAACCTTATAAAACTCTTCGCTTCCAAAATGCATTAGCCTATAAGTGCAAATATACATGTTTGACAAAATTCAACCTAGGCTATATATATATTTTTTAAATTTCACTATTTAAATTCTTTTGTCTTATATTTTACTTGTTAGAAATGCTTGACGACTAGATCATGGGAAATAGTATGTGTGTGCATGCAAGTGTTTATTTCTGAGTGACAGGAAGTGTGTCAGTCACAGCTGTTCAAGGCAGTGTGCTTGAAAGTAGATTGGGTCAGGTTGAATATGACTATGTTCAGAAGAATGAGGAATTTCATTATGTAGAAGCCACTCTGTGATTCTGATCCCTGATTAAGGATCTAATTACCCAGTTTAGACTGTAAGTGGTCTATTTGCACTTTGGTGCTGGAGTTGAACCCTTTCCAGATAAGTATGTGTGAGTGAGGGTCCATGTGTGTGTGTTTCTCTTGGCCCAGATAGTGCGCTTATGAATGTCAGCTGCACCTCTGCTCTGTGTCTCCACTGTCATTTAGCAAGCGTGCACAAATGTTTAGTGTGTGTGTGTGTGTGTTTGATCGAAGTGAGGACAATGCGCATGTAAGGGATTCTTGTGGAAAGAGACATCTTATCTCTTAGAATAGCATAGTTAGAAGTTAATTAGGTCTAAAGTAAGACATCAGGGAGGCAGCTTATTCTCTTTTTTAATTGTCATTTAATGTCATCAAGCAAAAGCAGAGATTGAGATTATTGCATTATTAAACTGACAATTTAGTTCACCCCAAAAATGAAAATTCTGTCATAAAATACTCACACTCGTGTTGTTGTAACAAACCCATAGACTTTTGTTTATCTTTGGAACACATGTGAAGATCTTTTTAATGAAATCTGAGAGATTTCTGTTAAGTATTCACCCAAAACTCTGTCTTTGTTGCTTCAAAATTTTAATTAAAGATTGTAAAATAAATCCAAATGAATAGGGCAGTTTAATCCAAGTCCTGTTAAGAGGCGTGAATTAATAGGCTTTTATTCATATAAACATTGATCAGTGAACATAGAGAACATCTATGGTAAACAGAAGCTGGACCGTAATTGCTTGATGCGCAAGAATGAACCTCATTGGTTCTCATGCTTGAGGTTCCATTCACCAAATTTGAGTGCTATGTATGTTTGTTGATAAATGTTTACATGTGAATAAAAGCCTAAATTAAATCAGTTCATCATACAAAGTGATTGTGTTTCTTCAAAGACTTGGATTAAACTGCTAGTTTCATATGGATTTATTTTACAATCTCTTTATGAATATTTTGAAACGTCAGAGTTTCAGGACAGAAATTTCAGGACAGAAACCTGGACAGAAATCTCTCAGGTTTCATTAAAAATATCTTTGTTTGTGTTCAAAAGATCAACGAACATCTTATGGGTTTGGAATGACATGAGGGTGAGTAACACCCTTTTATTTTTGGGTGAACTAACCCTTTGAAGTTGTGGTTGTCAGTGATATTTTAGTGCATTGCTTCACAACTCACTTCATGTGTCAGAGGTCCTGACAACAGGTTTCCGGTTCATGACTGACCATTGATTAAAATCTCCTTGCTCTAAATGCAAATATTGGCAAAGGCTATATTTTAGGATGCTCAGACAATATAATCTTATAGCATGTTACTTCTGTTTATAATTTTTAGTAAAAATCATCTATCGCTATATTGTAAACAGGATGCTATCTGCTATTTGGTGCAAACAGTATCTACTCTGTAATACCTTTTTATACCTTAGTGTAAACAGATGCTTCATTGTTTTTCATTTTATTGTTTTTAAAATGTGGAAATTGTCCTGTTTGGCATTATCTATTTTGGGTCCATTTTCAAATTTTACTTTATATATTACCCATTAAATGTAAAATTCTGTCACCAAAAATTATTTAAAAAAAGGAAATCTCTTGGGGACCCTTGATCCTGCTAATTAGGACCCCAACAGGAAGTAAGACATATTTCTACCTTTTAAGCTAGGTAGAGGGTGAGTGAGTTTATGTATAATTCAATTTGTAATGTTTATGTGGAATGCTTAGTGATATTGTAGAAACAATGTCTAAAAACTGTGAATATAATGAAATGTCCAAGTGGTGGTATGATACACTAAACTCTAAAACTACCTTAAACATTTTATTAAGTGTATCATTAGAATTGAAAAGATCCCTTTACCAATATATAAAGTTTAACTAAAATCTTAGTTGTGTTAAAACTAAAAATACATGGGGAATGTTAGCTCCCCATAGTTTGCTATAAGCACTGACGCTCTCATTGTGGCTCAAGCTGTAGCCTACTATTTACCATGACATATGGGATTTTTTTTTCCATCTTCAACATCTTTTCAGCTATAAATATCCAAGGGATAGAAAAAAGTATGAAATTTGATAAGAAATTCTGATGATATGATAGAAGGTGAAGGGTCTGTGGTAAAAAAGCTCCTAGATGCAATTTTCTCCTACAGCACTACGATAAATGTGCAGTGTATTCATATTACAGATTTATTTGTGCGGTAGGCCTATGCATTAACTAAAATATACACAGTTAATAAACTAAATGCACAATAATATATATGTTGTTATTAAATGAGATATTATGAAAACGACTGAAATGAACCAGGAAGAGAAACACCCTGTGCCAAAGTTGAGTCTCAAAGTTTTTTAACATTTCTATTTATAGAAATTGTGTCTCTCATTCAATATTAAATGATTTATCTTCTTATTTTTAACTTTCAACAACTAACACATTTTTTAACATGACACTTTTCCCTTAAGAGTAAAACCCTATGACCCTTTGCATCCTACTAAAAATTCATATTTTTAATGGTTTTCAATGTGGCCCAAAATTGATAAGAGGATCCTGGTGGGTGAAGTTTTCCAAGATAGCATGATGGTTAAAACCCTGCCCTGTACCAGAGGATTCCCGGTTTAAACTCCGCGCATCTGCAATATTATGTCATCGTAAGGCAGTGTTCGGATTCTCACGCAGGATAGCTCGGCTGTACGGCATTTTAGCAAAGTTCGACAACGAACGACTGTTTATTGAATCTGAAGTTGCCGAGTGAAACTGCTTTTCTAAAATGCACACGAGAGAATGTGTATTAGAGCAACACGCATGCAGCATGATGTAGCCGGCGTACCGTACCGCTTCTAGTCACTTCCTTGTCCTGCGGAGAGGATAAAGCAGTGACGTCGGTGGACCGGTCTCTGCACGGTGGCTGTAACGCTGCAGAGGGAAACCTGTCCACCCGACCCGGACACAAACCAGCCACTTTATCGTGGGCGGCTCGACGTCTCACGCGAGCTGAATCTTAAAAATGTTTCACAGTGGACCGCGACGATAGGCTGGCGGTTACCAAGCGACGCTCGACCGGGAGTTCAGCCGTTATCAGCTGCCCCACTGTCTATGTGTCCGTGTGCGGTGCACCGGTGACCATGTCCTTGGTGAAGAATGACGAGGAGCAGCGATGGGTGCCAACGCACGTGCAGGTAACCGTGCTACGGGCCCGAGGGCTGCGCGCGAAGGGTAAACACGGCACCAGCGATGTGTACACCATCATCCAGCTGGGCAAAGAGAAATATTCCACGTGCGTGATGGAGAAGACTACGGACCCGGAATGGGGCGAGGAATGCGCGTTCGAGCTGCTGCCGGGGATCCTGGAGAAGGGAGGGCGAGACGCGTACCCACCCGGTAGTGGCGACCTGACCCTCACCGTTATGCACCGTGCTCTCATAGGACTAGATGTGTTCCTGGGCCAGGCAGTTATACCGGTAGATAAAGCCTTCCATGATCGGAAAAGCATGAAAAACGAGTAAGTTTGTCTTTGCATTTACTGTTTATGTATTCATTCGTCTGAAGCAGCAGTTGTAGCTCAAGGAATAAGGGTTATGGTGCCATTAGCCCAGTCGGATATGTCTTGCTCAGACTCAGTGCTGCAATCTGTTCCTCTGCAGTCACGCCCTCTTCAGTGGGCCTGGATGTTGACTGAGGAAAGTAGGGGAATTTTCAATTTTCATTGGTGTTTTCCTTTCCTGTTTCTGGAGGCTTCTCAATGGTACAAATGTTGAACATTTTTCTCATCAAACACTGCAGATTCATCCCCTGATACCTGAAGATGGGTGTGTCCCACAAGGGAGACAGCCTAAATGTGTTAAAGGGTTAGTTCACCCGAAAATAAAAATTATGCCAGGTGTATGACTTTCTTCTTTCAGCCAAACACAATCAGAGTTCTATATATATATAAAAAAAATCCTGTCTCTTCCAAGCTTTATAATGGGAGTGAATTGTACCATTGTGTTCGAAGCACCAAAAAGCTCATCAGTCCTCCATAAAAATAAAAGTGCTCCAGGGGGTTCATAAAGGCCTTTTCTGAAGTGAATCGATGTGTTTTTGTAATGAAAAATATGCATATTTATAACTTTATAAACTAAAATCACTGGCTTCTGGTTATGGCCATATGCAAGTGGAGTTCCAGAGTGACCTCTGACCCGACGCATGATATATTGATGAACGCGGAAGCACAGAGGATAGAGCTAAACAAAACACCGATCACGAATTGGAAGTCTAAAACTAAAAATTTTAAAGAGAAATGTCAAAGGATTTCAATACAAGAGAATAGAAGCTTGAGTTTGTTGCCCAGCCCTATTTGTTTGAACCGCGAGAGTCGTCAAAGCTTATGCTACTCCTACATCCTATGCCGGTTCAGAGGTCATTCTTATGCCCAAACTCGACTCACACATGGTCGTTCCCGGAGGCCAGTGATTATAGTTCATAAAGTTATAAAAATGTATATTTTTCCTTACAAAAACGCATCATTTCGCTTCAGAAGGCCTTTATTAACCCCCTTGAGCTGTATGGATTACCTTTATGATGGATGGATGCGCTGTTGTTAAATCTAAGGTACAATTCACTCCCGTTATAAAGCTTGGAAGAGCCAGGATCATTTTTAATATAACTCCAATTATGTTTCAATTTTTACAAATTAGTTTCAAGCTACATTCATATGTGGTTTGAAATCCTATTCAAATCTCATTTCTGGCAATCTGTTTTATGACCATTCTGATTGGATTTTGCATAGCTTTTTTTTCTCACGCCACGTAAATGCGTCAGATGTCATTACAGAAACAAGGGTGAGTTGTCGATGTGCAGGTCGCTCAGAAAATTATATTATAATGGAGACATCACCGTGGTCCAGTGATGAGGTGATACCACATGAGTCCTCCAGTCACTGCTAGTCGGCCTGGTCAAAACCCCTCTTTGAATTTTGAGACTGGCAGAGACGGCAGCATGGAATAAAGTTGCTCATGCCAGCCTCCTAAGTCTCTGCCCCTGCTTCATTAGACTTAGTAGTCCAGTGCCGTGGCTACACATTGTCATATTGTAAGACACTCCATGTAGTTTTTGGCATAGGTCTACCAATGCAACACCTTTGCAATAAAAACCAACGCAGATAGGCTATTTCGGATAACGAAAGGGTGCTGCGGGACACACAAATCGGATCTGAACAGTTGCGATACACAGTGCGGACAGTTAGTAATTTAGATCAGATTCCATTCAGATAAACAAATAAATGGATTTGGACTGACAGTTTAAACATGTCTTAGAGGGCGTCCAGGATCAGTGTTGAGAAATGCTTGTTTAGATGGACTGTATTTTTCACATCTGATCTGTCTGATTTAGTTATGTGTCATTGCGTATGAACAGTCTAGTTTTGCTCTGTCAGCTTTCTGATTATGTAAGATAAAAGCACAAGCAGGAAAATGAAGGCTTGGGTCATGTGCTGCTTCTACCAGGTGCATCAGGGCTCTTTACCCATAATACCCCGTTTTTGTGCGCTTCAACACAATCGCATGGCAATATGTAACTATTTCACTTTTTGGGGAATTGGTGGCTAATTCGTATGAATTATTATTCATACTTTTTCATTCTATCTATCTGCGTACACTCCAGTGTGTAGGGGGGTGGGGTTAGGTATAGACTTTTTTATGCTTACTTTTTTCAAAAAATGTTGTTTTCCCCCCCGTACTATTTACTTCGTATGAATAAATACGAGATTGTCACCTCGTAAAATAGCTGTTTTCTCGAAATCGGGTTGGCTCTTCTTTCGTTTATGCTAGAATCTTAGTGATTCAAAGGTGGTTGACATTTAAGCTTCCTTACAAAATAAAAGTGTTGACTGCAGTGTAGTTACTAAACTCTATGTAGCGTCTCAAACCATTTTAAAATGCATTTTTTATACTTACAAAAATAATTTGTTACATTGCACGACCATTTGTCAGCTACAGGATATGCCATACTTGCCCATTCACATTAAGATATTATCCTCCAGTAACCAAGAGTTTTTGAGCAATAATAAAAGCATCTGTGGTTCTAGATAACAGATAACACAACAAGCTCAGAATAGCTCAAGATGGATGCTTGATCAGACCAGTGGAGCATGACTTCTTCATCTTCATTTATTGATACATTTTTAAACATTTCTCAGTCATCCTGAGGCTAAAGAAAATATATTCTTATGTGTTTCACTGTTAGCATGCAGAGGAAAGTGTTTTAAGATGCATTTTAACCTGTGTGTAGAGTCTCTGTGCATATATTTATATGTATGATTCTGAGGAAATCTATTTTTCCCTGGGTGGTTGTGGGTGAGTGAGGCTCTACACTATATCTAGACTCTAACACTACAGCTGTGAGATATTTATTCACAGTATACGCCCCACTTCCTGTAACTGGCCACCAGAAATGAAATCATTTATTTGCAGGCTATTATATAGAGGCCCTTCAGTGCTCTTCTGGTACCATTTCTGTTAAGATGTAACCAGAACTGATGTGTTTAACTGATGTGGTAGGCCTACTCCTTCATATAAGACAAGAGTAGGTAGTAATACCTCAAGAGTAGGTCATGTGACACAATGACAATTATTTTGTAACTGTATACTAAGGCCTACATAATGCTCCCAATTATATGTAGGCTATGCACAGGAATGACATTTTAGCCATAGAGGGATAGGCTAGTTCTCCCCAAAATGAAAATTTCCATCATTTACTCACCAGGTTGTTCCAAACCTGTATGAATTTCTTCCTTCCATTGAACACAAAAGAAGATATTTTGAAGAATGTTGGTAACCAGACAGTTGACGGCACCCATTGACTTCCATAGTAGGAAAAAATACTATGGAAGTCAATGGGGCCCATCAACTGTTTGGTTACCCATATTCTTCAAAATATCTTCTTTTGTGTTTAACAGGAGGGTGTGTGTAAATTTAAGTTGTTAAATTTTTAGGATTACTTTACTAAGTGCACTAAATGTTGACACTGAGGGTTTAATGTTTGCTGTATATGTTGCTCACTTCTTGGTTCCTGGTGATTTCCAGATTGCGTGTTGGTATATCCCCTAGTTTGTGTAGGTGGGATGAGTCTGGTATACTGATGAATCATGCAGTTAGTGTGTGGGTTGGCAACTTACCATTGTAAGACATAACGATTAGATTACTCTTGACTCTGCACTTCATGATTCGAACTTTTATTTTGATTTGAATCCGTCAGATGTGAGTTTTCTATACTTGGCACTGATATAAAAAAGGGTTTCCATGTATTTACAGAATTTGTTTTAAAGGACCACACTGTGAAAGAGCTAGTTCCGCTGGATGCCGTGTAATAAAGCCCACACATCTAACCACACTGGGCAGGACTCTGCTGCTCACCTCAGAGGTGAAATGATTGTAGCGTTGAATCTGGGTTATTCACATTGATACTGGAACTAGTGGGTGTTTTGGGCCCATTGGTTTGGTGTGGTAAACATAAAAGATGCTACAAAGGAAACAAAGTACCGATTTGACTTGCTGACTAGACGCTTTTGAATCTAAGCTCTTCAAAGACACAGGCAGTTACATTTTGCGCTTCAACCACCAAGCAAGTTCTTAATAAAGACGACAAAATATTCAGTAACTAATTTCTAGTTCACTAGGTTCAATCATGTTGCTTTTCTTTTGCTTAGTTGGCCAGGCATTGTTTGAGCACACCATTGTGCATAATAAAGTACATGATAATACCTCTTGTAACTTAATAAACTTTGCAGAAAAGGTATTTTGCAAAAGTTTTTATTTTAGTTAAGTTCAAGTGGTAAAGGAAAAATGGTGGCTTAACTTATTTCACATTTTGTACTTTGTCGGCAAAACTTTACAAAAAGGTCTATTTTGTTAACAAAAAGTGCATGCAAGCTAACAATCAAAAATATTTAATGTTTAAATTGTTAATGGTAGTTTATAAAAATGTCCATGATTATTTTAGTTCACAGTGTATTAACTAATATTAACAGATTCAACTTTGATCTTAAAAATGTATCAGTAAATCCTGAGATTAACATTAATTGAGGGGCCGTTTACACAAAACCGCTTTCAACTAAAAACGGAAAACTTTTTTGTGCGTTTTAGCCGTTCATTTACACAACAACAGGGTTTTGGGGGCCTGAAAACACAGACTTTTGAAAAATAAACCTTTATCGTCTCTGTGTAAACTCCAAAAACACGAATTTGTGAAAACGGTGACGTCATGCGCATGAGTATTAGGCTACTTGTTCTGTCAATAGGCGCATAGTTTTAGTGACATCGCCAACTACTGACCTGGCAGCATAATAAAGCCTTTTGAATCGCTTCCGCGGATCGTTTTGACAACGTTGTCGCTTGTCTCTTTATTTTATGGAATATGGTATATTCACCGGTTTTCTTCAATCTGATCACTTAAAAAATAGCACATCCATGTTCAACAAGCTGCCCAAATTCGAAGTGTCTTTTAAACCCCGTAGCACAAACAGTGCGGGTTTTTCTAATCCCTAACTCCATTTATTAGCCATAATGATGCTTCCCTTAGCAAACACCACTAATAGATTCTTATGCTTTGAGAAGGTTGTGTCTACTCATTTTGAGTATAGGTCATAATAATGTTCATTAGTCAAAGGAACTATGCATAAATTAAAGAAAATTATATAGAAATATATGGATTTTAAAGACTGTAAAAGGCATGGTGAGGCAACAGTGAGAATGGATGGGTGTTCCTTTTTGGATGAAGTGACTTTGCTCTGTGTTTAAAGCGAGAGTATCAGAAATGCTGTATGTACGACCGACCTATAAGGAGAAGGTTGATTTCCTGTTAGAGGTTGTCATTTTTCTGGAGGTCTTTGATACTTTGCCATGACATCACAAGGCTGGTATATTTTTCTGTGTGTGTATATGTGTGTGAATATTTGTGTTTCCCAGATGAACTGCGACTGATATCATTTTAATTTGCTTTGGAATCAGAACATCAAACTACCCTCATTTCAAACCATAGTCCAATAAGACAGTGTACATGTGTCTACATGTTGTAAAATGTACATAATTAATTATAAGTGAAATATACTCTGCAAAAAAGAAAACAAGAAAAGAAACGTCCTCTGTCCTCGCTTTCAGCTATATATGGATTTGGATGGAATCGAAGTTATAATGTTCATCAAATCTACATATATTTCAACCTACATATAGTAGTGTCTGCATTCAATTTGAAATGGAGAATTATTTTAAACACTGAAAATAATAATAATGTATGTATCACCTTTACTAATTGCAATATAAAACAACATATTCCAGTGTCACTTTATGTGAGTCTACCACAGCAACAGAAGTGCACTGGAGTAATGCCAAATGTGTTTATTAGTAAATGTGAATAATTAATGGGCATTCATGTGTGGGTGGATCCGCCTATCTGTTCATCTGTTAATTGGTTAATTGTTTTCTTTTAATGTGTCAGCCAAGTTTCTAACAATAAGAAAATTGTGTGTGTAGTGTACGTGTGTGTGTGCTGTCTTGTGGAGTGTCTAGAAAAGCGATAATGCTGATTGAAGAAAGCTGACCTTCTCGTCCCAGCTCTGCTTTTGTGTGTGTGTGTGTGTCTGTATGTGTTTACATGGGAAAAAAAAATGAGTCTCAGGAAATCCTCAATTAATTTAGCAGGGAGACCCTTTGATCTAAGTTCAAACATAAAGCTTGTGTATTTGTGTTTGCTTGAAAATGAAAAATGTATGTGTGAATGTGAATGTAGGGGAAAGGGCACTTGGCAAAACATTGCAACATCAGATCAATTAATCTATCCTTCAATTTCAACCTTCAGTAGATTGACTGCTAGAAATATAATGTTTCTCTCACAATTCCACCAATCCAAAAGACAGACATTTTCCGGACGGTGTAATATTAAAATAAAGGAACTGATAAGCTGTTAATCATTTTTTTACATGTTATAAGTATAACCGTTAAATGGCTGGTATTAAAATCCATACTAATTTAGTTTTTTGTCATTTAAAAGTCTAAATCAATAAAATTGAAAGGAATAGGCCTAGTTCTCATTGTGTTTTTAAAGATTAACTTCATGTGGAAATTTGATGATGGCAAATCATCAACAAAAAAAAAGCTATTCTAAATGTAAAACCAGGATATGAATATCTATTATTATTATAATATCTGTCAATATTTATTTTGTATATTAGTTATATATAATGTTAATATAATATTGGTGTAGATACCCTGAGGATCTCCTTTGAAGCCCACTTATGATGTTTTTTGAGGATCCATATTTTTTAATCAATGTATGTATCTTCCTAAATCATCACACATCACTGAATATAAAAAAATGGCAAAGGTTTCACAATGTAAACATTTAATACAAATACTGCAGATATGCAAGGTCAGCTCAGCATTCATAGCTGAAATTACTTTTGGTTTAGCAATATTTGGAAATGAATTAACTTGTGTTTTTTTAGATGCCTAATACTTTGATGGTTTGTTTTGATCTCTCTTAGTATATTGTTCTCGTTTAAAGTATTGTTTGTTCTAACAGAGTTAGAAGATGTACAGCAGTGGCCAAAAGTAATGTCCGGCCTTGGAAACTTCACCCTAAATTGAAACAATTTGTTAAAGATAAGCATATGGCGTAGTTGTGCTTGGAGTCAATTTATTTAAGATAACACAATGAAACATGCCAAATTGTGTGGACATATTTTTTGGGCTGGCTGTCATACAAAGAACTTATGAACATGCAAAAACGAGTCCGTGTTTAGTTTAGTTTTTTTGCTTGGTAAAATAATTTGCCTTCTTTTGCCAAATAATTTTGTCAGATAAATACCTTAACCAACTTTAATGTTTTGATTTTCCCTCATATGTAAAATATTTTAAATATATAAAATATTTCACTCATATATTGTTGGTTTATTTCAACATCATTAAAATTTAAAAACAAATATACCCTCTGGACATCACTTTTGGCCACTATATCATGTGTGCCTCCCTTTAACAGTTTTCTTTACTCATTATTGTTCACAGGTGGCACCTGCTGCATTCTAAAACTGGCAAAAAGGAGAAGGAAAGAGGGCAGCTTCAGTTGACTGTGCAGTTCACTCGGCACAACCTGACGGCCAGCATGTATGACCTTTCCATGAAGGACAAACCTCGCTCTGCTTTCGACAAGCTCAGAGAACGCATGCGGGCTAAGAAGCGCTCTAGCGAAGAAGATTCCTCTTCCGCCATCGTCTCTGGGGGATACGGGTCAATGGTAAGTGTGCGGGGGCGGCTGCCAAGTGATGGGGGCGGCGAGGAAGACTACGAGGATGATGAAGGCGGGGAGGTTCGCAGGAGTAAGATGAGAAGTTTTTTCCTGCGTGGGAGGTTGAGGAAGTCTTCAGACACGCGCTCAAGCACGTCACTGGGCTCCGAGAGCAGCGAGTCTTCATCGCGGGGCGGCAGCCTCAGCCCGACGGCAGGAATCAGCGTGGTGGTCTCAGATCTGTCCAACTCTCCGAGTAACAGCAGCAACCTGACTGCAGACAGCAGTCCAGGTATGCACAACAACATTTGATGTTCAGTATAAGTTCAAAAATGTATCTCAACTTGTCTCTGGTTTTCTTAAAAAGTGAGGCACTTACAATGGAAGTGAGTGGGAACAATCCATAAGCAGCAAATATTTTAACATTAAGTAGTTGAGCCACGAGACATAAACAATAAGTATGTTTACATGATTTTAGTGTAAAAAATCGCTTATTAACCTGTTCTGTGTAAAGTTATGTGCATTTGTACAACTTTGCTGAAGTGACCACGTAACGTAAAAAGTTCTAAAACACTAAAATGATTGTAAAAGTGTTGATTTAAACATAATAATACTCTTTTTAAAAATGACTCAAGCTAGAACTGCGGCAACATCTCCAAGACTCTTGAAGAAACCTTCCCTGAAAATCTATGTGCAAGTGTACCTATACACCAAATATTGATTTAATTTAGTTAATAGAAGATAATTGGTAAATAAAATCTATTTATGGTATTATGTTTAGGAGCATCCTGACTTTACCTGACTTTTAGTGCCTAAAACTTTCCACGGTACTGTAGCTTTGGAGGGAAATTTCTTCAAGCGTCTTAGAGACTTTGCCACAGTTCTTCTGGATTTAGTCCGCCATTTGAATATGCCCTTACACACACACACACACACACACACACATTATAGAAATACAAACCTTTATGTTACATGCGATTAATCAATTTGACAGCAATACTAGTATACTTTTGGTAACACTTTAGTTTAGGGTCCAATTCTCACTATTAACTAGTTGCTTATTAACATGCATTTTACTAGGATTTTGGCTTTTTATTGGTACTTATAAAGCACATATTAATGCCTTATTCTGCATGACCATACTCTACAACCTTTAATCCTTCCCAATACCTAAACGTAACAAGTACGTTATTAACTATTAATAAGTGTGACCCTACTTTTATTAAAATATAAGCTTCAAGTGTCTGCATTTAAATCCTTCAAAAATTGGCCCCATTAATTTATATTGTATGTACCACAAAAAATAATTTGGACTGATCCCTCGTTTTCTTAAAAAAAAAAATAACTCAACCTTTCGGTGAAATGACAGTATCTTTTGTGACGTATACTGGACTCTCCAGTCATTCCAATCCAATCCTTACAATCGACTGCATACTTGCATTCAGATCTGCCTCCATCCAATCAAGTCCCCATGCTACATTTTGTTTTTCAATAATCTGTTTCACTCGGATGTGTGACATGGAAAAGATCTTACTACGTCCATTACAGTGCAACTTTAAGAAAACAATAAAACTCTTTCTCTTTCAGAACACACAGTGGCTCCCTCACCACAGGTCTCTCCTGTCAGACATATGATGTACGACATCAGCTTACCAGTGCCTCATTCTGTGACGTCAGAGAACGACACCCCTATTCTGCTTCCTTCAGTGTGCGTGAACGGGAATCCGGTGGAAACGTCTCCTCTTACTCACCACCCTCCGTCACTCATACTACAGCAACCTCAACGAGAGTCAACCAAACCAGTAACTCAGTCAGGTCAACCACAGGCAACCAAGCTGCCAGTTAAGCCTCAGAAAACCCAATCAATTGAACAGAAATCCCAAGAAACCCGGCTATCCAAGTCCGAGTCAAAGCCAAGGCCTGAGCACCAGCTCCCAGCCCTCGGGGTGCTTCAGAAGGGCTCTTCTCTCTCTCTCTCCCTACAGAACCTCTCTCGCCGTGGGGAAGAGAAGCAAAACGGCGGCCCTGTGGATGGTCGTCGCTGGTCGTTCGATAAACCTGGAGAGGAAGAAAAAGCTGCCATCGTAGCAGCATTAGAGCATGCTGGAAGAGTTACGGATGAGGCGGTGATGGAAACAGTGATACCTGCTGGAGAGACAGAGACTCAGAGCAAGAAAAGGAGGGGCCTGTTTTCACACGGGAGAGGTGATTTGGCTGGGAAAGGGCCAATCATGAGTAAAGAGGAAGCAGAACATGCTCAACCACTTGTAGAAGTCAAACACAAAGGATGGTTCGGCTCCAAGGACTCGCACAGTAAACCCAGGTAACTTATTTTTGCCATATTTATGTTACAGTTGCTATATAGAAGTGTGTGCGTGTGTATTTGTGGTTCTGTGAGAGTAAACGCTGTGACATACAGCCATAGATTTAGTTTCAGCATCTGCATTGCAGAGGGAGGTGTTGCCTGGAAACCTGAACTCTTGGAATTATTTCCTTTAACTCTCTCTCTCTCTCTCTCTCTCTCTCTCTCTCTCTCTCTCTCTCTCTCTCTCTCTCTCTCTCTCTCTCTCTCTCTCTCTCTCTCTCTCTCTCTCTCTCTCTCTCTCTCTCTCTCTCTCTCTCTCTCTCTCTCTCTCTCTCTCTCTCTCTTTCTCTCTCTCTCTCTCTCTCTCTCTTTCACACATGTTCTCCCTAAATACCAAGCTATGATTTCTCAATTTTAATCGGAAAGTGCTATTTTTGTATTGCAGACAGATGGATCTGAATGTGTGTGTGGGAGTGTTTGTGTTCGCTATGAATGGGAGGAGTCAATCAGTTTAAATCTGTCACTGACCTAACCCAGTATAACTGCATTCTTGTTTCTGGTGTAGGTGTGTATGCTGTCCATTGTTTGGTAAATATTTTCTTTTTTTCATTGGTGATGGTGATCACACTCTGTTCTATTTTTCTGAGCTTTGGTTTGGGTTATTGAAAAGCAGGGAAATGCCTCTTCATGCTGTGCAACAAAAATGTGCACACACACATGCTCATAAACTGCATTAACTTTTGGAATTGCAAATATTGGCTAATTAAACAAATCCCTGCATTAATTGCTAAAGGTTGCAATTATGTCACATCTTCAATTTTCAGCAAAAAATTAAAACTTGAGAGGAAAAAAGAAAGCAATATTGACTAATTAAGGTCTGTGAATTCTATGCTTATCAAATTAATCTCATGTTGAAGTTTCCTGCTGAGGCCTTGGAGCAAATTCCACAGTGGAATTCATTATGTTGTACTCACTCTGTAGGGCACTTGAAGTGAGATTGCCCAGAAGAGAGCAGCATTACATCTCATATTTTCACATTTGGTACATGTGCGAAGACGTCATTGCCACTTTATTTTAAATCCTATTAATTAAACAAAACAGGCAAATACTTTTGCTTCCAATGTTGGCCTTTTGTGTCTTGGGTTTTGAAAGTCCAAGGGAGTCCAACCTTAAGTCCAACCTTCTCCTTTAAAATGATCGTACTTGGGTTGACTTATCATAAACTGTACAATTCTTTATTGAAATGACAGTCATCTGTACACTTCTGCTGTTACTGATATTAATTGCATAATAATTTATGGTGGATTTTCAATGAAAAAAAAAATTCGTCAAATAGCAGTGCCGTTTCTGGGCTGCAATAATTTCAAAAAAGTCCCTTGAAATCCTGATGGGAGTGAGATAAACGGATTTACACACATAGACCTCAAAGATAATATAATCTATGCTGATCAAGTTATTATTCACCCATGAAATGTCCCATAACAGACAAAATCTTCATGGCTAATGACCTATTAAATGGATACAGGTTAAGCCTTGACCTAACATAAAAACAGTTTTCTTTTGAAAATCACCATTTACAATGCAGTTTAGCTCACAAGTATTGTTAATATTTTCCTAAGCAACTGGCTTCTAGCATGTTTTTATTAACTGTGACATGTAGTTCAAATGATTTCATAGGTATTTCTTTGAAGTTTAGCTACTGGAACATGTCAAATATCCCAGCCAATCACATGCTCTCTTATGTTTACTTGCTTGAAGCAAAAAGTGATTTAGTTTATGTATGAACTTAACTAAAAGGGCAAAGATGTCAGTCTGTAAAAACCTGTTGTTTAATCAATCTTTCTATCGCTCACCTCCCCCTCTAGTACGGTTGGGTGATTTGTTATGGTCTTTTCAAACTCAGCGTTTCTTCATGTCTTGTGTAGAGCAGCCAGACACTGTTTTCAAAATACTATCCTATGTCATACTGCTTGCCACATCACAAGGCACTATTGCATGGTTTTAATTCTTAAAACTTCATTTAAGTACGCATTAGTAAATTTATAAAACTGTAATATATTTAGTAGTTGTCATATGGTATATTATCATGTGTATTTCCAGATGTTTGGCATTGGTTTTTAGGAAACTATCTGACCTTTTGCGCTCTGATTTTATATTGCACATTTCATCATAAAATGTCATTAAGATATCACATATATACAAAAACAAACATACTATCCACAGTATGTACACTGGAAACTGCTTTTCTTTAAGGAATTTTATGAGAAATATGATAGTATGTTATTTTGAGCACAACACAATTTTAACACAATTATTTAGTGCCCTCTGTTTAGAAGTTTCCTACAGCAAACATATTTTTTGTTTAGAATGCATCGTGTACAATTGTTTGTCTTGGTTTTTTTTGCATTTTAAATTGTTAAGGTCACTGGTCATTGCACTTGGCCATCATTGCTTCTCACGGTTATAAAGGGTTTAATGGAGGTCACAGTTTCTAATGAAGTGCACTGTATATACCTTCCTTTCACAGCCCCCTGGTGTCTCCTTGGTCACTCTCAAGTGTCAGTGCAATCTGTCCAATTGTACCCTTGAACTTTAATGACCCTTCACAGAGTATGGCTGACAAACACGCTAATCCCTTCACTTCTCTCCCACCCTTTTCTGAAGCCAATCCCTTCCTCCCACTTGCACAGCAGAATCCTTTTTTTCAGGAGCTTCATTCTGCTACTCCTTCAACTCCTGATGTGCCCTCTCTCTTTAGCTCACAGTCTGCTGGTAATGCCACCCCCGATTTGCTAAGGATTGGAAACAAAAAAGGACCTTCCCAAATGGATTTTTCATTTGATCCTTTAATTTCTCACTTCGAGGGACAGACAGAAAAGGATGAATTTGAACATTTTGCTGAGGATAGACTGAAGTCTTCAGATGAGATGAATGAAACAAAGAATTTGGTTACACTCCCTCCTCTCCTTCTGAAAACAAATAATCAAGAGCCCTCAGGTGCTTTGGGTGGCTTAATGGTGTCGGATACAAATGATCTAACTGATTTAGGGCAAACTGCTTCAGCAAGTACTGTAGAGACACCCAAGGAAACTGCTGCTGACACAATTCAAGTTTCAGGAAGTGATGTTAATGATATTTGCTCTAGTTCTGACAAGCCTGACCACACCGATCACGGGGCACATGGCTTCCCAGAATTTAATATGAATTTATCCAAAATCTCCTTACCCGAAAATTCCAGTTTAGATTTTTCTGAACTGAATATGCTTGCATGCCCTTTTCCTGCACTGTCACCTCGATCCATGAATGAAGACCGTTCTGACGCCACAACTCTTAAAGACCAACCAAAGATGTCCCTAAACTCACAAAATGCCAAATCAGATGTCACACAGCCATCATTATCAGAAGCAGACACTGTTGACCACCTTCATAGTTTCTGCATTGAGTTCTCAGAGGGGGTGTCTGTGAATCCTGAAACATCACAGAGGCCCGAGGCACCCGAGTCTGCTACAGATATTGAGTCTGTGATAGTCCATGAGGATCCTTTGCCATTCTGCAGAGACAACAGCTCAGGTGACACCCTGGAACAGTCCACTGTGAAATCTGATTCCCTAGGTGGAGATGTAGACCACCAGTCTATTGAGCCCTGTCTTTCTCCACAGAGTGAAATAATTCCAGGTAATATAATACAATCTGATGAAGAATTTTGGAGATCAAATGCCTCACTCATTCAAACTGTGGCAGTAAGTGGAAAGTCCCTAGTTGAAACCACTGAGCTTTCAAGAAGCCATGTTCAATCAGCACAGAGTTCCCTTCTGTCAGCTACTTTGCCAGTGAAGAATGGAGAGAAAACAGATGCAGTTATGGACACCATGATTCAGAATGAATCAGGAGATGGTCTCTTAGAGGGTGGGAATAGTAAAGATATCTGTTCTGAAATCGAAGAGTCTGTTCCTGAGAACCTATTTGATGGCCCTTCCTTTCCAAGGCTCTCAAAAACCATGTCTAATGACATGCAGGAGGACAAACAGAAAGTCAGTGAATTGCCCACAAGTCCATGCAAGAATGACTTAACGGGTAATCTACTCACCAGCATCAGTGAAGAGCAAGAAATAACAAATTCTAATGGGACAACACATCCTGTAAGACATCTTCCCACCACTGGAATTAGAACAGGGACAGACAAGGATGCATCAGATCCAAACTTTGTGCTCTCGCCTGGCAGTGTGCTCCTCCACAGCCTGTACAAGAGTGCAGAATCAGACCAGTACATTACTTGTGTATCTCAGCAGGATTCAGTTTCCCCTAGTTTAGAGCTCACACAGGATGTGAAACCCAAACATAATTGGTCTGTAGAGGACACTTCAAAATTTGAGTCCTTGCCAAACCATATCTCTAATGCCATGCCAAAAGATGGCACATCTGTAAAGGCTGTACCAGAAATGGCTTGTAAGCTAAATCAGGTCATGGAAGAAAACATTAAACCATTTCAAGAAGTCTTGCCAAAGCCAGAAACCCCTCAGGATGTTCAACCAAGAAATTGCTTATTGGACCTCCTGCCAGAAACGCATACCTTTACACCAAAATTAGCCCCCTCATGCAATACATCATCTGAGAACATGTCTAACATGATAAAGTCAGATTTTGATGAAGCAATGGTACAGTGCAACCCTTCAGGGGACAATGTTGAAAAATATGACTTTTCCAAAGATACGATGGCAATAGTTGTTACCTCAGATATGATAGCAGAACTTGAGGCTCAGCTTGCACCATTAAATACAGAAACATGTCTGGTAAATAACTGTAAAACCTGCCCAACCAAACAAAACAATTCCCAAGAACTGCAAAAAGATGAATCCCATAATATTAAATCTGTTGGGATTTTATCGGAGGGTAACCTACATTTAGCCCAGCTGACTGAACCTAACGTGTTTGTATCCGATTGTGCATTAGAACAAACCTCCAGTATCACACAGGACCTTGTCATAACTGATTTTGGCCTGAAAAACATCTTTCTACCCCAGCCAACTGAAACGCACCTTCTTTGTACTAGCTCAAGTCCAGTCGCAAACCTTGAATCTGCAGAGAGTCTAGACAGAAATGCTGAAATGTGGACAACCCCAGCTGTTCAAGATTCAGAGACACCTGACTTATTTCCAGTGAACTGGCCCCGTTTACCCCAGCCATCAGCACCTTCACTCTGCGAACAGCCAACGCTGGCTTCAAGGCATGACCACAGCCTTAACTTTACATCTTCTTTGTTCGAGCTTTCACCTGTAGCTTCCTCAACACCACATATAGCAGTATTCCCCTTTCCCATAATTCCCCCTACCACAGCAGAGTCATTACCACGTCCAGAACATGCTCCTCTTCCTACTATGCAGCCTGTGAATTCTACATCATACAATCCTTTTATCCAGGATAAACCACAGACATTTGATCATCAGAGCAGGTGAGGTCTCAGTTTGTTTTGTTGTGGTTGTTATGGGAGATCGGCACATCTGGTGCACATCTAATGGGCACATCTGGAGATCTTTTTTTTAATTCCTTGGGCTTTCCAGTCACTTCCATTCAGCTTTAAAACTTATTGTCTTCAATGATGTTTTTAAAGGTAAAATCTGTAATTACTGAAACGGGTCATTTCCACAGTAATATGGACATTTTGGCTAATGCTGATAACTAATAATTATTGATTGGTAGGCCAACAGTCTTGCCAGTTTCAATAACTACAGATTTCCGGTTTTAGCAGATATGTGGTGCAAGGTTTGTTTCTCGTGAAAATGGTGTTATGGGGTTGGGCAAGGCGTCTTTTGGGACGCCTTATTATATGTGCAATCGATGCACTTTACTTTCTCTGGTTTCAGGGTGACTCTTTCCCTTCATCCACATCTTCTCTCTTGTGTTAATTTGTTTGTGGTAGCAGCATGTCTACTGATTTCTCCATGGACAATCACACATAGGCTCACACTCTCTTGTGGATCCTACAGTTGGGATGGGGGAGCCTCACTTCAATTAGTAGGTGTTAACCAATTGAGTGACTCGGTTCGGTCCACAGGAAGCTTGCCTGAGTAAATTTTAGCTTCATATTTGTTTGCTTGATTACCCTTACTGCAGCTAGTCTAATGAGTTGTTGGATTATGATTGAAGGTAACCTTTATTGTGTCCTAGAAGAGATCTCCTTGTCTCAGAACTAAAGGCTGTTCTCACCAAGAACTATAACTTTAAAGATTATTATAACGATAATAACTATATTAGCGTACACACCAGCGGACAATATCATTGTTCATTTGTCTGCTGTTTTAATTGGTTCAGATTTTTTTTTTAAAAGTAATTCCAATTATAGTGTTTCTCTGTGCTCTTATCGTTATAGTTGTGGTGTGGACTCTGCTATTCTTTTATTTTTAGAACGATTTTTAGAACTATATCCTTATCATTATAGATATCTTCCTAAGTGTGAATGGGCCTTAAGAGCTTTTCTTGAAAACATCTTAAATGGTGTGCTGTTGTGAATAAATTGATTGACTTATTATATTAAGCTGTCACCATTCTTTTTTGCCCTGTACCCTGTCTAATCTTGCTGTGTCAATATGTCTTTTAGTCCACACCCAGTGAAGCCATTGACACCCCCTGATGAGAAAAGGTCAGAGGGTCGCTCCGTACTAGAGAAGCTTAAATCCACCATCCACTCAGGACGAAGTCACCACTCAGATCAGGATGCTGACAAGAAGGTACTGCATGAGTATGAAGCAGTCTGTGGGTTTTTTTTATGGTAAATTTGCCTTTTGAGTTAACGGATTTAACACATTTAATTCATTGACACTGATGAACCCAAAAACATTTTTGTCAGCTTTCACTTGTCATGTCTCCTTATTGGCGTCTAAATACAGTTCAATACAATGCAAACATTTTTCCTACTCTGTCATTATTTTAGTAAAAGTAATATTTCCGCACTATTTATTTCAAAAGTATTAGATATCATTTTCCCACATGTTCTTCTGATCACCAAGACTGCATTTATTTGATCAAAAATACAGTAAAAACAATACAAATGTGAAATATTACGGTTTAAAATAACCATTTTCTATTTCTATTTTCTATTTATTCCTGTAATGGCAAAACTGAATTTTCAGCATCATTACTCCAGTCTTCAGTGTCACATGATCCTTCAGAAATCATTCTAATATGCTGATTTGGCGCATTTCTTATTATCAACGTTGAAAACAATTGTGCTACTTAATATTTTTGCAGAAACCATGATATTTTTATAGAAACCTATCATGCTCAGACATGACGACAATTTTTATTTTATTTAGATGAACATTCTGTAAATATTAATTTACTAACATTATCATATTTAAATGTTAATCAAATTAAAACAAGCACTACTACTACTAGTTACTACACTGTAAAATAGTACAACTGTAAACTAATTTCAATTGAGGAATCGATTGCTTGAATTCATTTAAGTTTACAAACAATAGTTATGAGTACTGTAAACTTATTTCAGTTGAGTTCACTAAAAGAATATTTCCTAAAATACAATTAAACTTCACTCAAATATTTGATGTTGCTGAAACTCAACTGTATTGATTAAAACTATTAAATTTAAACTTCATTGGCTCTATTCCCTTATAGTTACCTGTTAGTTAGCTAGCTACTTAGCAGGCTAATGCTTAACATGTGCTAATACCACAAGAGACTATTGCTACGTCCGAAATTGAAAACTTCTCTATTATATAGCATTATATTGTAGTATGTCCAAATACATAGTATTCGAAAAACAGTAGACGAAAAGTCCCCGGATGACCTACTACTTCCGGCGAGATTCTGAAGTGCACATTCAATGGACACTTTACTATCCCATGAGGCCACGGGAGGGGATTTATGAGTGGAGGTGAAGCGACTCAACTGACGCTGGTAGGTCACATGATAATGATGGATGGCGGATGTAGTACGTCCGGATTACATTCATACTACACACATTCATACTATATAGAACATACTTTTTCGCGAAGTAAGTTTAAATGCAAATGTAATACCTACTCAGACTGTACGTGATTTTGGTGGCACTGTATCACTGCATTGGTAAGTGCAGTTACTACTTTTTAAACAAAGCAGTCTTAACATGCTTTGGGCCATCCTCGAGCTAACCACAGGCTCTACTCTTCAGCACAATGGTAACGCCCCAAAAACTAAATCCCAACATAACAACAATAAACACTAACAGATCTCTACCTGCATTAATCTTGTGCAAAAACATAAAATAGGATTTAAATTAACATTTACTCTCTACAGAGTCTGAAGCAAAGTATACTGGGAACTAGAAATCTGCCTTAAGCTTGTGATTGATTCAGTTTGAGTTCTGCTTAATATAATCAGTTATTGAGTTCACATAACTTTTTCTATTAAGTGCAATGAACTTTCAGTAATATTTGAGTGAATTTACCCATTTCATTTAATGAATTTGACTGTTAGGTTTTGCAGTGTACTACTTTACTTCTATGATAGTTCTGTCATTTAAATCCATTACCATGATCACAAATCAAAAAAATATTATTCAGAAGTGACTTTTTTTTTTCTCGACTTCAAAATAGTCTTCCAATGTAAAATTTGCTTTTCTTTCTTGTTTTAGCCACTAGTGGAGGGAGGAGGCTCGTACTATCACCTGAACCACAGTGATCTGGTTAAATTGCTGATCCAGCGAGATACTGAGCTCAGGCAGGAGCGGGAGGACTACGAGAAGCGAAGGGCGCTGCTGGAAAAACGTGAGACGGAGCTAAAAAAGATGAAGCTTCTGATCCGAGATCTAGAGGATTACATCGACACGCTGCTCGTACGCATCATGGAGCAGACCCCCACGCTGCTGCAGGTCCGCAACAAGATGAAATGATACAACAAACGCCTTCACTATCCTTCCATAAATCCCAGGTGGACTTCACAACCTTGCACTGCTACAGCAACCATATAAATGTAGAGAGGTATCTGGAGCTAGGTGATGGACATGGAGGAGAGGGTGTAGATTTGCAGTTCTTAACTGTGTCTGAAAATACCTGGGCTTCTATGGGGTCTGTATAGTACTGCAGGTTTGCATTGATGGTTAAAGGTCGGCACTCTGCTGCTAAACTTCAAAGCTGGTAGGATCCATTCACTCACCAGACATGTCACTAAGATACATGATAGTCCAGCTAAGCACCAAAACCACCTGTCAGTCGAAAGGAAGGCAAGACTGTGAGATGCCAGTCTTCTAGCGCTAGTGTGAATGGTTTTTAATGCACGAAGAAAAGCATTGCTTTATCTTTCGGGTTTTTTTCTATCACGTTTTGACATGTAACGCTCAGCTGCTTAAACAAAAGAACAAGTTTGAAAACTCGAGGTGGCTCGAAAGCGTGCGAGAGGGAGCGTGAGACGAATCAGACAGTTTTGAATCTGCTTGTGCCTCCCTACATGTCCCTGCACTTTACTTAAGAGCTTAAGGGCAGAGGCTCACACCAACTGACCTTCTAGCTTTGTTTTGTAGGTCGGTATCCTTCCTCTTCCTTCCTTTGCTTGAGCCAATGCACGTACATCGCTGCCAGTGCTTTCAGGTGTAATGAATAGGATATATACTGTATTCATTGCATATATGCCACTCGGACAAAATGCCAAATGCTGCCTTATCATACAGTATTTTCTCCATTCTGTTGTCGCTAAACTCATTACTTTTAATTAAATTGCACATTATATTACAACAAAAAGGTGATGAAGTGTTCAACGTTTAACTTTCCCCAAGACTGTTAAATATCAAAATGATCAAATGGATCTGAAGAGAGAACGAAAGCCATGAAAATGCAAATGCCAGAAAATATCTGCTCTAAATTAACGTTACAGTATTGTCAATACCGCAATGGATCTGTTAATGTCACTGTAATGTTATTCTGGTGTTTTTAAGATGTCGCCACTATCAGTGTTGCCACTGTCTGTGTACAATGTAGCACTATATGTAGATATGTGATAGAGGCGTAGGCCGCAGCACTTTTAAACCTCACACTGAGGCATTTGCAACAATTCTTTCTCAACAGCTTAGGAAGTGCACACAGTCAAGCGCACACGTTCATTGCACAGACTAATAATCCTCTAAACACAGGATATTAACGCTGTTTCAGTGCTAGTCCCTGCTAGAAAGCTTGAGATTTATCAACATATTTCTGTGATTAGAAGCAGTTAAGGACTTGTGTGCTCTGAAGGTTTGTCTCTCAGACTATTGAAGGTGGATTAATGAATGTTCATTTAATAAGGATTAAACTTAAAAGTTTACAAGTTTTCAAGAATATGTTACGTTTTAATCATGCAAATATTTATGGTTTTTATTGTATTTTGCTTTGTGGGAAGGTCTTCTGTCACCTTTATTTTAGGGTGGTATAAGGTTTGTACAATCATTTTTTTTTTTTTGCTCATTTTTTTAAGTGCTGTTTATGTACATCATGATTACTAAGCCTAGGATTCCCTTTCTAAAGGTCAGTAGTAACAGAAAGCAATAGATGTGAAGGCCAGGCTTTTGCAGAATTTAAGAGATTCATACTTTTTTAGGTCTAAACAGATGGAATGTAATATGAAATATTTGCTTAGGTTGCCACTGTGTCGAACAACAGTTTATATAATAAATATTCACAAACACACACAGCCTGCAGCCTAATAAGAAAGTGTTCAAGTGCCCTTGGCTGAATGATATCATGAGATGTGTGTGTAGAAGAAGATTTGTATGCTTTTAATGGTGAAGTTGATAATCAAAGCTACATTTTATGTAGTACAAACTCTGGAACTTGCAAATAAAAAATTGTGTTTACTACATTTCCTTTTATTTTTAGAGGTGTGGAATGTCCTTTTTCTTTTAAGGTAATTTAAAACCTAGATATTTTTTAAAGAATTACAAAGGGTTTATTTTAAAGTTGTAAGAATGCAATGGAAAGAATTTCGATGCCCGAATCCTCATTCTTAAAAGTATAGGCTCAATTCTTCCTTCTTGGTTGTAAATTTCAGTGGATGAGAATGGCAAAAAAATTAACCTCACATATTAAGTAGCGTATAAGCACCGAACATGATGGGAATGTTCAGATGAACAATTTGTTTTTTAGGTGCAAAATATTTGAAGTGCTTCCCTGAGGTGCTGTTTGGTTGGATGTTTAGGGTGTAGTTACATGAGTGTCCACTGGAGGTTGTGATGTATTTTTTTTATTCAATGCCTCATCTGAGAGATGTTCAATTGACTTTTGGTGTACTCTTATGCATCTCTGCTAGGAAAAGGTCTCTGTTGATGAAATAAACTTTTCACTTTGGGATGCATCTCTGACTGTCCTTATTTGTCAAAAAAGACAAAGCACTCATATGTCTTTGTATGCAGTGATATTGAAAATTAAACCACTATTTAAACACTACAACACTATTTGAACTACACTACTGTAGTTATATACCCTCCTAAATTTTATTTGCCTCAATAATTAGATGATATATTTAAATTTCAAGCAATCATTAGTGAAACAAATGTGCTAAAAAGATTCCACAAGAACATATGTGATCAAGTGTTTTGATGTGCTCACACTGAATGAGTTCATTTTTTATATTTTTTAGAGGGTATTAGGAGAGCATCATTTTTAACACAATTAATATTACACAGCTTCTAGACAAGACATTTGTGGAATGACTATCTTGTATAAACAAATTATGTAGCTATATGTCACACCCTGTGCAATAACAAGGTCATAATGACTAAACTGAACCACATGATGTAGCCTAGTTAAGGCGATTGAAATTTTTAATGATTCATTTAATAATTAACTAATTTATTAATAAAAGGAAAGCAATGTTTTACTGACGTTTATGACTAATCTTAAAACTACTCTTCAAACGTCATCCATCTGTGGAAGCTTGTTTCTGACACTGTAAAAAAAATAGGCCAGTTTACATCTCGGAATTCTGACTTTTTTCACCCTCAGAATTGCATCACGCATTTTGACTTTATAACTCGTAAATTGAAATTAAATTTATATATTTTTTTTAAAAAGTCACCTTTTTAATTTTTTATTTTGTGGCGGAAACCTACAGTCTATGGGCGGAAACAAGCTTTCATCAGGGTGATTTATCCTATGGATTTATCCTTTGACCTGTCATAGGTTAGAAAACGACATTACCCAAAATGCATCGATACGATGACTCGCCCACTCTGAGGGAAGTCTACTCTAGTTTCAGAGCTCAGTAAAACAGCTTTATTGAATGCAAAACCTGCCATGGCTGAATCGACTGTGTGCCCTCCGTTTAGACTCGGCGAGTCTCGGTTTGATCAGGTAAATATCAATCCGACCCAGTCCATTTACGAATGTGAGACCTTCGTGTTTTTGTATCTGGTGGATTTCTTCAGGCTCACTGCAGACGGGTTTGACTTTGGAGACAGAATACTTCAAGTGAATTGTTTAAGGGGAATCGGATTTTGCTGCTCGAATGAGCTGCCGTTTACTTTACTCGCTAAAACTAAACCAAATCAAATCCTAACAGTGCACTGCAGTGTTCGCTTGTTCCGCCTCCCTCCCTCACACTCTGGTTCAGTGACAGTCGCATTAACAGTGACCTCTGTTGGTGACATAACTACTTTGCAAAATGGGATAAATTATGTTGTTGCCTAGAATACACATTTTTAGATTATTGGCAGAAATACAATAGTATATCCTCAAAACAATGGGTCAGCACTTTAAGTTAATTTATGTTTATGTATTGTGCTATAGCACCCAAAATGCCCATATAGCTACAATATATTTTTTAACTTCTTGTGAAAAATGACGACAGTACATGCACGTCTTGTACCAATTGAATACTGTTGCTATGGTTACTTCATAAGGCGTACCCGATTTAAGTGGCCGGTTGCATAAACTGCTTAGACTAGTCTTACAAGTTAGTCATAATTTTTTCTTCAAAACCTTTCATAACTTTTTAAGGTCAGTTACGTAAAAAGATTTTAATCTAGTTTAAATCTGGAAAGTAAGACTGATTACACCGTGGTTAGCTGCTCGGCACGAAACGGAAAAAAGTTGCGGTAGTCTTTTCTCCCTATACTCTAGCTAAATAATGGTTCCAAAAGCGGGGTTTCGCAGCGCCATTGAAGAATCATTTTTGTTTCCCCAAGAAACCTTTGAGTGAACAGGTCTTAAAAGTGCCATTTTTTCTTGGTGCAAAAAGCATTATGATAATCTAAAGAACCTTTTTTTCCACTATAAAGAATATTTTGTGGAATGGAAAGGTTCCATTGAACCATTGATGCCAATAAAAAAACTTTATTTTTAAGATTGTATTGACGTATATCCGAGTGAAACGGATTTTCGAACTAGAAAAAATGTAGTGCTTGTGGTTTGATATTGCTGTGATGTCATGTGAGTGACAGGTTGTCCCGCCCTCGCGCCAGTAAAAACGTCATCAGAGAGAAAAGATAGGCTTGTTTGAGATGCGCCTTGCCTCGCCTGAAATGTAGTCGAGAGTAGGCGGCTGCAGTGAGAGGAGGAGTGAAGAAAGCGCAGGCAAGCCGGACAGATCTCTCTTCTCGCAGTGGATCATCAGAGACCTGTGAGATCAGGCGGATATCGCGGGATTCACGCTCGTGCACGGTGTGGCTAATAAACTGGATGTAATTTAAGTTTTGTTGCTTATATATGAAAATAAATATAATGAAGACACCCAAAGTACTTATTTAATTCCATTTTAAATAGGCCTACTACGTGTTTATCAGTCATTTTTTCTTTAATACAGACATGTGTTTTTATTTAAAGAAAATCATAAAAATTACATCACATAGATCACACTGTCAGAGAGTTTGGGAATATATCCACACATAATTTATACACATAAAACATGATATCAGAGTTTTGAAATCAAACATTTTAAAAAGAGAACAATACATCACGGTTGTTTAAACCAATGAGCATTAAGCTGTGTCGTCAGCAAGTGGTTTCCCATCATGCTTTTGATCAGCGCAGTCGGTGGAGAGCAACTGCGCGCGACTGCAGAATCCGACACGTGCGCCTTGCGCTCGCGAGAGTTTTTTGACATACGTCGGCATGACATCAGAGCAAGGCGGACCGCACTCGGACACATTGACATCACATGCATCTCGCGCTGATCACCGGTGATCGGTTCTGCGCAGATTGTGCTCATCTCAAACAAGCCTGATGTCTCTGCAAGAGGGAGGGGAAGTTATTTTTGATTAAAGATTACAAGGATAAATGAGTTTTGCAGAAAATAATGAAGTCTATGGTTAAAAATATTTTATAATAAATACTGCAATATTCCATCAAAATAGGAATTTAGGAATCGTCTATTTTGTTTTCATTGTCAGTATTGAGATTCCTTTATTTGTCATTTTCATGGTGTACATAAAAACGAAATTGTGTTTCACACATCCACCACTCAGTAATTCAGTGCAATAGTAACTAATCAAAAAAGCACAATTTAAATATAAATATACTAAAATACACTAGAAAAAGAATAAAAGAATAAAATACATAAATAATTTCAAATCACGTTCTCTGGTTAAGCAGTCTAACAGCTGTGGGGAAAAAGCTATTTAATAGCCTACTAGTTCTTTCTCTGATACTTCTGTATCTTTCCTTCTGTTATAAGTTATACTGAATAAGATACCTTCTGTATCTTCTTATTCAGTATAACTTAGTGGTTATGTTTATGCAACTGGCCCCTGTTCGCAACTTCTGTCTAGTATGCCCTGATTAACTTGTAATCTAACTCTTGTGGCTACATTATATAGGCCTATCTTCAACAAAACACAGCCACAAAAGTATATATAGTATATACACAAAAGGGTACACACACACTCACACAGTGTTGGGGAAAGTTATTTTTTAAAAGTAATGCGTTACAATATTGAGTTACTTACAAAAGTAACAAACTTTTGCTTAGTTATTTTTTTATGAAAAGTAGCTAATGTTAGTTTTGCATTAATTTTTCTCTGGGCTGGGCTTGCTTGTTTGTTTTTTAATAACAATATAAAAGGGCGCAGCTCAAACAAACCTTTCAGTGGTTCTGTTCTGTCATTCTGAATTGCAAAAGAATAGGAGGCAGGAGAAGACTTACTTAAGCAATGAAAAGGAAAAAAAAGAAACACAAATGTGATGTTAAAGTCATTTTAGTATGGTTGAATTGGAGCATCGAAGGTCAGAGGCAAAGACTTTGGTTAATTTTACAGTTTTTATTAATTTTGAGGAATACTGAATGTGTTTTTGTGCAAGTGAGGTGAATAAATGCATGCTTACTTTTGAAAAAAGTAATCTGATTATAACTTGCATATATATATATATATATATATATATATATATATATATATATATAACACATCGACATCGTGTTGGGGGTGACGCATTATAAGTAACAAAAGTTACGTAATCAGATTACTTTTTTCAGAGTGACTTTTTTATATATATATATAAATATTTCTTGTATGTAAAAACTATATATTTAGAGACCCTTTGCAAACATTTTTTTTTTCTTGACAGTCTTTAGTGGTTAGGTTTTACTTGAGGTCAGGCCCCAGACCCTTATAATTCACACCCCGGCCTCATTTTATTCTTTTCAAACTTCAGCATCAAATATGAAGAGATAAAGCATCGTCAACTGTTTTGTGCCAAAGCAAGTTCATTAGCAACACTACTCTATTAAAACATGTGGAAACTCGAACATTCACTGCGACAAAAAACAATTTAAGCCATTTTATATGCATTAGTGACTCAATAACTTTAACCTCAGAGGAAGAGGAATTGAGAGGTAATTTATTTATTCATTTATTTATTTAATACAGATAATTCACATCTGCTGTTATTGCTCTAGCGGATATACCGTCCTTCATATGTGTAAAGGGCCGCCTGTTAGATGTGATAAACAGAGAATATGTTGTGTGCTGCTTTGAAATCTTCAAATCTTTCTCTCTCACACACATTTGAACATTTTAATTGCATTGGAAGAAGTTTTTTTAGGTCTACAGATCAGCCAGCAGCAGTTGGTGCGCACGCATAATGAGGCGGACACACCTGGCGTGCGAAAACAACTGGTTCGGCCCTGGTGTCAGAGTCTGCTTCAGCAGCTGACTCCCGCATCTGGAGAAAGTTTCTGGGACCTCAGAAATAATTTGTTGAAAAATTTAAAGAAATTGTGAACATATGATTATTAATAATCATGCTTATTATTCTCGGGAGAACTGTTCTTGTTTCACACAAACCTGCCCCTCAAGATGAGTTGCCTGTAACTTAGTATTTTTTAGAATTCATTGGATTCTTTAGGGGGGAATCAGTTTTTTTTTCTTCACACAATAAATAAATAAACAAATCAATCTAAACAATCGCAAGCTTAAAATTAAGCAACAAATAATACAAGATAGTTTAGTTTATAAGATATGGTAGTTATAGGGTTAGTGCAAATAAGCTGCGACAAATATCTGATTATTTGTCATTGTCGTTTTAAAATATAATGCCAAATGCCTTAGATTATCACACAATCCCATTTTAAACAGTTAAATAGATCCACTACTATACTCAGTAAAAAGGAAGACATAAAATACAACATTGTCTTACTTTTCCTATGTTTCCAATGCTGTATTTATCTCTATTGCATTTTTAAACTTAACAAACCAGGTATGCACTGCACTGCAGATGTTTAACTTACAAAATATATTAGATGATATTATTAATATTCTTTAAACAAGTGTGTTTTTATGATGATTTTACTTCTTTTATTGCATTCTCTCCTCAACTTCTAAGATCTTTAAACGATCTATAAGCCTTTAACTTCCAAATGATTTTTATGAGAAAACGGAACTATTTTACAAGGTGACAATTTCGTTTAAATCCGTTCCATGTGATTCGTATGAAAACCCACGATTTTTTAGGGGAAAAGCAAGCATGATGGTCCTCCCCTAAACCTAACCTTTAGGGGAGCATAAGCAGATTGTATGAAAAATGTATATGAATTAGGCACCAGTTCACCAAAATGTAGTTCTGAATTGCCATGAGAGCGTTTTGAAACTCCCAACATGTTAATGGAGTGCATTTTATTGGTTTATTTCTTGATGTTTCCTTGTTACTTCAGGGTTCATTTTCTGGCAGATTAAGACACTTCTTGAATGTGATCGACCCTCGAACGCTCTTTGTTTCAGAGGTAAGCAAGAGTCTCCTTAAACCGTAAGCCTCAATTGATTTGATAGTTTATCTGTGAATGCTGTTTTCTCTTTTTTTATTTTAGAAACATTTAAATGAATGTATGAAACTTCTGGATCAATTCAAAAATGGAAATCTGCCTCCAGGTGTAACTAATGTACAGGTAAGATTGGGGCCCATTAAAAGTATATTTGGTACACTCCTAAAATAATGGGGGTTTTCACAGTGATGCCACATAAGAACTATTTTAGATTCCCCAAAGATCCTTTCTGCAAACAAATCTTAAAAGAACCATTTTTTTTTTTGTGAAGAACATTTTAATAATCTAATAATCACTATGAAGAATGAAAAGGTTCCATGGATGTAAAAGGCTATTCATGGAACCATATATGCCAATTAAAGAGTGTATTTAAAGAGTGTGTATAGCTAATGAGAATGTAAGCAGAATAGAAGAATTCAAACAATCAAATTATCAGAATTTGACAGTTCAGTTGTAAAGAATGTTTCATGTACAGTATGTTTCATGCATGTTTCTCTCTATTTTTCGCATAGCTTTGGGAAGCACAGAAGATTAAACAGGTGAGTGTGAACAGTGTTGAAAGCCTTTTTACGGGTTCCTATGATGAAAGAACCTGCTCAAATCACTCAACATCTTCGTGCGCAGTGTGACACACACTCGCAAGCTGTGGTTCTGAATAGTGGTGTAATGAGAGGAGAATTGCGGAGAACCTCAGCATGGTAATTCTCCCATCAGTCCGATCTCACCTCTTATTCTCTCTCGTTTTCTCCTCTTCATCCTGTCTGCTGTCTGTGGATTCATTATGTCCTCAGGCCATCATCCATCCAGACACAGGAGAGAAGATCCCCATGCCCTTTCGCATGTCAGGTAAGGGTGTGAGTGTGTTTTCCGTGTGTGTGTGTGTGTGTGTCATGGGTGGTAGGCAGTTTTCTGCTTGTTACCAGCTCTGGAGACTAGAGGTTGGTGGTAGGGGGTCTCTCTGGACCGATCTGTTGGCAAAGGTCACACTCAGCTGGGCTCTGATTAAACCCTCTACCTCCTGCTGTCTGGAAGTGTTGTTGGGCCACTCAGAAATAGGAGTATTTTAGTCTTCTGTTAACACTACTATTTAAAGAGGGAACAGATAGGGAGAGACCTGCCTGACAATTATGATGGCTACCTCTGAACAATGCTATCTTTATGAGTAATGAGGATTTTGTTAATCTGTTAAAGGTCAGTAATAAAGTCATAATGTCATATGAGAGACTATAATTCTGATTATTAAACCAAACATGGCTTGAAATGTACTTCTGTGGCCTGATCCAGCATATTCACTCATCTGTCTAAATCTGTGTTAGTGAGCACTTCTCCTTTGCCAAAATAATCCATCCATCTCACAGGTGTGGCATATCAAGCTGATTAGACAGCATGATTATTGCACAGGTGTGCCTTAGGCTGCCTGCAATAAAAGGCCACTCTGTGCAGTTTTATCACACAGCACAATGCCACAGATGTCGCAAGTTTTGAGGGAGCGTGCAATTGACCTATGGCTAAGCCACGCCCCCAAACGCGATGAGCCAATCAGTGCACATAGCTAACCCAATACACTCGGACATTCTCTGCTTCCACATCCATTGAAATGCATTGCAGTTAGTCAGTTTTCATTCGTTTTTATGTTTCTTCTTGTCATTTTAAGTTTAAAATGGTCAAACGGTGTGCATGGGGTACATGCAACTCCGACACTCGGTATCCCGAGAGGCTGGGCGACGGTGTGTATTTTTTACCCTTTCCCAAACATCTCAACCGAGATAAGTGTCTGCTCTGGATTAAGTTATGCGGTAACGTTAGACCACAACACCAACGAAACGTGGATAAATTAAATAAGAATTAAACAAGGATGTCTACATCTGTTCTAAGTCAACAACGTATTTGAACGTTATCTTTAACATCTCTAACGTAACGTTAGTTTCTAGCTGCGTTGTACATCATGTCACTTAGCTTCATTAACGTATATAAACGTATGTAAATAACCCAGATAACAAATGTTAGCAATGTTGTGCTGAATGATTCATGTAAATACTGCAGTGCATGAACTATGCTGATCCTCTATCTTGTTGTCTGAGATGGTGATGGCAACGAGATGCGGTTTATCACGTTTACACTGTGACCTGTACATTTTTGCCTGGAGCTGAAGCTTTTCATCGACCTTCTCAACAATAAAATTATTAATATAACCCTCCAATGCATAGTTAATGCCCTTTTGGTGACTTCGAGATGATAAATAATCTTTCTGTCTCCAAAAATCATCAATTGCCTCCTGTGAAATGTCTCCTACTGTGACAGCTGCCATAGCGCCTGTCACCGAATGTTGACTGTTTGTCCGAGTGAGTGGAGGGGGCGTGGCTTAGCCATTGGTCAATTGGCATGCTGACTGCAGGAATGTCCACCAGAGATGTTGCCCTTGAATTGAATGTTCATTTCTCTACCATAAGCCAAAGGCGTTTCAGAGAATTTGGCGGTACATCCAACCGGCCTCACAACCGCAGACCACGTGTAACCACACCAGCCCAGGACCTCCACATCCAGCATCTTCACCTCCAAGATCGTCTGAGACCAGCCACCCGGACAGCTGCTGCAACAATCGGTTTGCATAACCAAAGAATTTCTGCACAAACTGTCAGAAACCGTCTCAGGGAAACTCATCTGCATGCTCGTCGTCCTCATCGGGGTCTCGACCTGACTGCGGTTCGTCGTCGTAACCGACTTGAGTGGGCAAATGCTTACATTCGATGGCGTCTGGCACTTTGGAGAGGTGTTCTCTTCGTGGATGAATCCTGGTTTTCACTGTACAGGGCATATGGCAGGCAGCATGTATGACGTCGTGTGGGTGAGCGGTTTGCTGATGTCGACGTTGTGGATCGAGTGGTGGCGGTGGGGTTATGGTATGGGCAGGCGTATGTTATGGATAACGAACACGGGTGCATTTTATTGATGGCATTTTGAATGCACAGAGATACCGTGACGAGATCCTGAGGCCCATTGTTGTGCCATTGTTACAGTATGATAATGCACGGCCCCATGTTGCAAGGATCTGTACACAATTCCTGGAAGCTGAAAACATCCCAGTTCTTGCATGTCCAGCATACTCACCGGACATTGAGCATGTTTGGGATGCTCTGGATCGGCGTATTAAACAGCATGTTCCAGGTCCTGCCAATATTCAGCAACTTCGCACAGCCATTGAAGAGGAGTGGACCAACATTCCACAGGCCACAATCAACAACCTGATCAACTCTATGTGACGGAGATGTGTTGCACTACGTGAGGCAAATGGTGGTCACACTAGATACTGACTGGTTTTCTGACCCCCCAATACAGTAAAATTGCACATTTTAGAGTGGCCTTTTCTTGTGGCCAGCCTAAGGCACACCTGTGCAATAATCATGCTGTCTAATCAGCATCTTGATATGCCACACCTGTGAGGTGGATGGATTATCTCGGCAAAGGAGAAGTGCTCACTAACACAGATTTAGACAGATTTGTAAACAATATCTGAGAGAAATAGGCCTTTTGTGTACATAGAAAAAGTCTTAGATCTTTGAGTTCAGCTCATGAAAAATGTGGGCAAAAACAAAAGTGTTGTGTTTATAATTTTGTTCAGTGTACATTCTTAGTATTATTCCATTATTGAATCAAGGACTTTTTTTTCTCTCTCCTGAAATCATCTCCTTCCTATTCCTTGTGTTGGCACATTTTTTTCCTTTTTCTTTCAGGTTTTGTGCCCTTTGGTACTCCAGTGGTAGGTAAATGTGGAAAAAAAATTCAAAATTTCCTTGTCTTGGTCACCAAATGTTAACATGAAATCAATGTCAAATCACTCACTCCTCAATTTATAGGTTGTGGGACTTCTTTTACCCAATCAGACATTTGCTTCCACCATCTTCTGGCAGGTATGGTACACACGTGTTTTTCTGGTCTTTATGCTTGACTTTAACCTCAAGCTCGCTTTACTGTGAACTCATTCTCACTGTTTCTCACAGTGGCTGAACCAGAGTCACAACGCCTGTGTCAACTACTGCAACCGTAATGCAACTAAGGTATGGTGAAACTAATGTAATTTTGAACAGTACATACGACATGGCATATTTTATGTTTACATGCAAACTAAAGTTATTAAAAAGAAATGAAACGAGTGTTGCAGAGATAATATATTTTGTAGGCCAACCCATAAGTTAGCATCACCCTGGTTCCCTCGACAAAACCGGATCTTTACATTGGTTTTTAGATTATTGCAGAAAATAAGCTCTGTGACCAACACAAGTTTATGATTCTTACGCATTTTGTTCATCATAATATTCTTCACATATGAACACAACTTTTTGAGGCCTAAATACAAGTAAAAAGCTGAAACTAGGCTATAAAGGAACTGTACCACTGTCACATGACTTAAACGCCATCAACACCATCAAGCTTCTAAAGACTCTTTCAGTTTTAATTTAAAAAACATTTTCCCTGAAAGTTTGAGGTAGAATAGTTTGCAAGAGCGTGATTATAAACACACCGAGACTGTGAAAGCGGACTAGTGAGTAGATGGGTTTACCTGTTCAACTTGTCCTCAGCAACCCATTTAACCACTTGTTAGCAACACAGTTTAAAAAGTATAAGCATTAAAAAAATCACAAGATGGTATTATGGATGTATTTTATGTCATAAAATAAAACATGAAAATGTCTTGAGATTGTTAACCACAGACCATATTTCAGATATTTAACCAAAAGTCCATTAAAAAAATCCATTGACTTCAGAATTTTGGAACTGGACGTACTAAAATTCAAATTATACTGTGTTGTATCATCTTATGAATAATCGTAAAAACTGTTATAACACATTATAATACTTGTGGTTATAACTTTTAGGAGTAAGGTAATATAAAAACACAATGAACACCATGTTATAACCACTTAAATTATAATGGATTATAGTTCCCATAGTTATAATGGATTGTAAGTCTCACATCTTGGCATTGCAAGTTATAGCCCATATGTAATTAAAAGGTATTATAGCTGTTGTTACAATCGATGATACGATACAACATGTAGGCTATGTTTTGTAATACTTTACAATAAGGTTTCATTTGTTAATGTTAAGTTACATTAGTTAACATGAACTAATGATGAACAAAACTTTTAGCAATTATTAATCTTAGTTCATGTTAATTTATACATTTACTAATACGTTTTCAAATCAAAATTTGTATCTGTTATCATCAGTTAACAAACTGCACTGTGATCAACAGTTTTATTTTTATTAACTAACATTAATAAAAAGTAATAAATGCTGTAAAATCACTCTGATTAGTTCAAGTTAATTAATGCATTTACTTTAGTTAGACCTAACAAATTAGACCTTATTGTAAAGTGATACTCGTTTTTGTTTTTGTAAGGCATTATTCATGCATTATAATGCCGTAAGAGTACACTTAAAATGCATTATAAATACAGGCTTCATGGATAGTGTTACCAAAAATGCCATAATAAATTAAAATTTTAATTAATTTGTTTTGTTTTGTTTGTTTTCAGCCCACACCAATGTCTACATTTTTCCAGGGTTATCTTGGTGCAGTCAGCAGTGCAGTTACTATTGCAGTGAGTTCACATGTCTACTACACAAAATTGTATTACGTAACTTGATGTGTAGAAAGAATTCTCTTTTGAATCTTAAATTTTGAATTGCCATTTCACGCTAACAGAGATTATATCCATGACTTTTCTAGTACTATGTGAATTTAATTTTAATAAGCAAACTGATGGAGTCTAATAGCATCACATAGGCACACAGAGCCCGATGCTGTATTTGACTTTGCTGAATTGCATATCCTTCTAGTCACGCCCATGTGTCCTCTAGAGCCAATTAGCTGCCCTGCTGGGTGGCAGTTTGATGCCCAGGGGCATGACAAGCAGAACCATGGTGACGACAACTACAAATGGCCCCATGCCTGTGAGAAATGCGGGAGGGGGGCACTAATTAAAACTACAATCCCTCTGAAAACCCCTGCTGAGAAGGGAAGGGATGTGAATGGGTTATGTTCTCAGATGTTTGTTAGACGGGCTCTCAGAGATGACCAGAGACTCACAAGGCGAGACCAGAAACAACTTGGCATAGCCTGTCACGGCCTGTCATAAAGCCCACTGGGAGTTTTTTAAGGTCACTATGAAAACAAATGTGTATTCATTGTCACCATAACGTCTTTGACTTCACGTGTAATATTTGCCATATTAGATTAATGTAAGATTTCATTGTTTCATTAGGCACATGTTTCTGTTTTTCATTTGTGTTTGAATTTGAAGACATGGAAAAAAATAATCAGTTGTGTTCATGGGCGCTTAAAGTCGAATAATTAAAAAAAAAAAAAAAATTGTTTTCTAATAAAAATGATATACACACTACAGTTCAAAAGTTTGGGGTTGGTAAGATATGTATATATATATGTTTTTGAAAAATTGTTATCCTAACCCAGGATGCATTTATTTGATTACAAATCAGTAGAACAGTAACATTGTAAAATATTATTACAATTAATTTTAAAATAGATATTTTATCATTTTTTATATATTTTAAAATGTAACTAATTCCTGTGATGCAAATCATTACTCCAGTCTTCGGTGCAATATGATCCTTCAGAAATCATACTAATATGATGATTTGCTGCTCAAGAAACATGTATTATTATTATTATTGTCAATGTTGTAATAGTATATTAGTAATAATAATAATATATCAGTGTTCTTAATATTTTTGTGGTACATTTTAAGGTCTCTTTTATGAATAGAGAGGTCAGAAGAACAGCATTTATTTGAAATAGAAATATTTTGTAACACTATAAAAGTTATTACTCTCACTTTTGTCTCTCACTCATATAATCAGTTTATATGCCTCTGCTGAATAATTATAAGAAAAAATCTTACTGACCCAAAACTACAAATGTAAACATGTATCATGTTAAAAGTATTTATAAAAAAAAAAAAAAAATTAAAAAAACATTTTTTAAAATAAAAATACTAAAAAATCTCACCACATGCCACAGATGATAATGGCAGAAAGTAAATCATTATTCTAATCATTTTTACGCTTGTAATTCATGTGTGCAAAAAAAAAACAAAAAAAAAACACACATTTAAAAAACATTTTTTAAATAAAAATACTAAAATTAAATGTAATTATGTGCACAGGTGGGGCTGAATATTCTTATTAAGAAAGCTGAGCATTTCAGTCCGGCTACAAGAATCCTGGTCCAGAGGTTCATCCCGTTCCCTGCCGTTGGTATGTGCATGTGTGTGAGAGTGTATTTATGTACGTGTTAGCGATTAATGTGAGCTTGATTTCCCGCACCACTTACTCTCCCCTTATGTGTTTATGACAGAAATCAAGCAGCGGCTTCCTGTCATGTGGTCTTGCTAAACTGCTGATTAGTAAAACATAAAATGATTGATTCTGTAATGTACGATATTAATTAATGCATGCCGTTTTCTATCAGCTCTTTTGCTGTCTGAAAGCTCACGTCTTTGCATTTGTAATGACACTCAATTTCTAAATGAGCATTGGTTCAGACTTTCATTAACCCTCGAGCGTTTGTTTATTGTTGTGTGTTCTCATGTTGTGTTTTGACTGATCCTGTTGTCAGAGGGGGACGCTGCTGAAATGTTATCTCAGTGTTCCATTAGCGTGCTGAGGCTCAAACAGGTCCAGAGGGGCTGAGGGAGACTGTCCCACAATGCCTTGGGGATCCTTGGCTGTAATTAAATTGTTTTCGTCCCCCACCCCACCCCTTTAATTAAATCAGCAGGTTCCCCCCTCACCTCTCTGGACTGGAGTAACGGGACCTTGTTAGCTCTCGGCTGCCGCTCTCTAATTGGTTAATTAGGCCTAAAGTGCTCTCTGTGTTAGCACTGGGCTCCTTGTCTCCAGGCCGCCATGTTGTTGTTGTTTTTCAGTGTTTAGTTATAAAAGGCAATTAAACACAGCTAATGAAACGCAGTGGAAACATATTTGCCTTGGATTTTATTTTGCTTTAGTTTTTTGCGTTCACAATTATTTGTGATAATTTGATGTAAAACAGCATTCGTGTATCATTTTTATTAACCTCAAAATGATACACTTGGAATCAGCGCCTATATAAAGACAGTTTATAATGATTTTTGGCATCAATATGGTGACCTAAAGCAGGGCTTCATTCTTTGTAAAATTTAGTATGCATATGTTTTTAATTGTTATCCATACATTGTGTGTGTGTGTGGTTAATTGGCCTGGGTCTGAACCCCTCAGAGGTGAATAGCTATTTCCTCACCCAATTAACTCAGCCCCACAACACTGCAGCACTGAACACTGATAACTCACAACACAAGGTCTGTAAATTAAAAATGCTTCAGGCTTTCTTTATTTCTCTGTTCACACACACACACACCAATCTCACCACATGCCACAGATGATAATGCCAGAAAGTAAATCATTATTCTAATCATTTTTACGCTTGTAATTCATGTGTGCACTTTGACATGACCATATGAAACTATTTGTTTTATATCCAGTTAACCCCTCTTAACGCAGACGTTCCAGATCAAGAATGTTTTCCAGTTTTGATTGCATTTATTTCAATATTCACAGGCGGTGACTCTCTAACAGATTATTAGTACTCTAATTTGTTCTGTTAGTTCTATAGTTCTGTTAGTTTAGTGCATAGCAGTGGGGTAAGATGTGTCACCCCCAATCTAGCAAATGTATTGCTAAAAACTCTGCATGTCAAGGTAAAATCAGCAATATATATATATATATATATATACACTCACCGGCCACTTTATTAGGTACACCTGTCCAACTGCTCGTTAACACTTAATTTCTAAGCAGCCAATCACATGGCGGCAACTCAGTGCATTTAGGCATGTAGACATGGTCAAGACAATCTCCTGCAGTTCAAACCAAGCATCAGTATGGGGAAGAAAGTTGATTTGAGTGACTTTGAACGTGGCATGATTGTTGGTGCCAGAAGGGCTGGTCTGAGTATTTCAGAAACTGCTAATCTACTGGGATTTTCACGCACAACCATCTCTAGGGTTTACAGAGAATGGTCCGAAAAAGAAAAAACATCCAGTGAGCGGCAGTTCTGTGGGCGGAAATGCCTTGTTGATGCCAGAGGTCAGAGGAGAATGGCCAGACTGGTTCGAGCTGATAGAAGGGCAACAGTGACTGAAATAACCACTCGTTACAACCGAGGTATGCAGCAAAGCATTTGTGAAGCCACAACACGCACAACCTTGAGGCGGATGGGCTACAACAGCAGAAGACTCCACCGGGTACCACTCATCTCCACTACAAATAGGAAAAAGAGGCTACAATTTGCAAGAGCTCACCAAAATTGAACAGTTGAAGACTGGAAAAATGTTGCCTGGTCTGATGAGTCTCGATTTCTGTTGAGACATTCAGATGTTAGAGTCAGAATTTGGCGTAAACAGAATGAGAACATGGAACCATCATGCCTTGTTACCACTGTGCAGGCTGGTGGTGGTGGTGTAATGGTGTGGGGGATGTTTTCCTGGCACACTTTAGGCACCTTAGTGCCAATTGGGCATCGTTTAAATGCCACGGCCTACCTGAGCATTGTTTCTGACCATGTCCATCCCTTTATGGCCACCATGTACCCATCCTCTGATGGCTACTTCCACCATGTCACAAAGCTCTAATCATTTCAAATTGGTTTCTTGAACATGACAATGAGTTCACTGTACTAAAATGGCCTCCACAGTCACCAGATCTCAACCCAATAGAGCATCTTTGGGATGTGGTGGAACGGGAGATTCGCATCATGGATGTGCAGCCGACAAATCTGCGGCAACTGTGTGATGCCATCATGTCAATATGGACCAAACTCCCTGAGGAATGCTTCCAGCACCTTGTTGAATCTATGCCACGAAGAATTGAGGCAGTTCTGAAGGCAAAAGGGGGTCCAACCCGTTACTAGCATGGGGTACCTAATAAAGTGGCCGGTGAGTGTATATTAGCAATCATGATAACTCTCAGAACAGTTTTAGCTTCTTATTGAATATGGCAGTGTTCATGTATTTGGTCTTGGCGGACTAGATCTGCTACACTGCTGCTGCAGAGCAAGTATGGATTTTCTACTGCTAATAGATACACAATCATGCTGCTGTGAGCATGTAAGATATATAAATCCCGTAGCAGATCTACTGTAGGCAGGTGGAGCTGGGGGAGGTGGAGGGTTTCTGAGGAACTCTGAAAGGACTAGCTTACAGCAAAGAATGAACCAGACTATTTAAATGGTAGGCAAGCAATCTCATTGGCTGCAAGATCAGCAGAGGCCAATCAGCTTGTACCATGTGACTGAACTAGATATGGTAACATTTTACAATAACGTTCCATTAGTTAAGGTTAGTTAATGCATTAACTAACATTCATTAACAATGAACGATACATTCATTACCATACTTATTAATATTTGTTAACATAAGTTAATAAAAATACAACTGTTCATTGTTAGTTTGTGTTGGTCCAGGTTCATTAACTAATGTTAACAGAAACAACTTTTGATTTTAATAATGTATTATTAAATGTTGAGATTAACATTATCCTAGATTAATAAATGCTTTGGAAATATTTTTCATTGTTAGTTCATGTTAACTGATGTGTGGCAGTAAATGGTAAGTTGTCTTCTGCTAAATAAGGACTTATGTTTATATTTTTTATTTCAAATGGAAATTGTTAATGTCTTCCCAGTGATTTATCTTTCCCTTCACGTGACAGCTTTCCCCTTACAATTTTTTTCTATGGTCCAACTTTATAGAAGCTTTCTTCTAATTGAAAGGATATATTCTGAAATATAATTGGGTATATTAGTTCTGTCTCATTTCTCCTGGCCTAGAGGACAATTTAAAAATTAAATTGCACAGCTTACCCCATTATTCTCCCCTAAGTTAAACAAATGCACTGCAACATTCATCCATTGACTGCCTCTTACATTTGTGTGTGTGTTTTCTTGTTTCAAAACGTATCAGGGATAGTGACAGTACAAAGAGAGTCAAGTTCACACGATTCTCTCTTCAATCATAATCAGTTGTCTGTGTTGGATCCAAATAAGGAGAAGTTGGGCATCAAATGGAAGTCCCTTTGTTTTCTAACTGCAATTCTATCTTCATTTAGCAAGTGCCAATGTGTGTAATGTTTTGCTGATGCGTCACACCGAGCTATCAGAGGGCATCAGTGTACTGGACGACAAAGGCAATGTGGTGGGCACCTCAAAGCTGGCTGCCAGGCATGTGAGTATGGACATTTTGCATGTGTTAACTTAAGGGAAAGGTTGTTAGCAAATGACAGAGATGAGTTCTGCTCTGATAAATGTCTTTTTGTTCAGGCTTTGATGGAGACATCCCTGACACGTGTCGTGCTGCCCATGCCTGTTCTCCTGCTGCCGCCTTTAGTAATGGCCATACTGGAGAGGTCAGAGAAAATCTTGTGAATTTGATATTTCAGACTTCAGAGTTATTTTTACAGCACCGTCACCTCGGGAATTCACACACTAATATGAACCATATGTCCTGGTATATTTTTATTTCACAGTTTGATGTGAACACATTTGTGTATGTGTTTAAAGGAGTAGCTAACATAAAAATTAAATGCAAAATGCCACACAAAAAAAAGATGTTTGGATGTCAAGCTCAAAATATGATTTATAAAAGTTCCTTAACAGTGGACAGTTGTATTCAGAAACATACAATATGCTTCAGAAGCCATAAAATCACAATAAAATCTTGCCCCTTTACCACAGCTCTTAAATATACTTTGTGCAACTTCAATATTCTTATTTGATTGGTCAGAATGACTTAAGTTAAAAATATAGTTAAAATAGTCACAGGTCACATTGACTACTGTCAGCATTCTACAAAATTTTGTTTTGTTGAAAGAAATGAATAGTTTCATTTAGAAAGGTGCATTAAAGGTCCATAAATTATTAAAAAGTGACTGTAAAAACATATATAATGATACAAAAGATTTCTATTTCAGAAAATCAGCATATTAGAATGATTTCTGAAGGATCATGTGAAACCGAACATTGGAGTAATGATGCTGAAAATTCAGCTTTGCCAGCTTTTAAAATACATTTAAAACAGAAAACCTTTATTTTAAATTGTAATAATATTTCAAAACATTACTCTTTTTACTGGATTTTCAGTATGATAAATACAGCCTTGGTGAGCTTCAGAGACTCCTTTCAAAAAATTTTAACTGAGCGCATTTAACCAGTAGTTTATCTACTTTTATGACACTTTGGAATGAGATTTTAGCTCTTATATTAACTATATATTTAGTGTCTGACTATCTGTCCTGTAGTAGGCTATGTGACATTGGAGTCCACATTAAAAATCTCTGATTTTCTTCCATTTAAACTTACGTTTAAAGAAGTCTTAGGGAAAATGTTTGGGAAAAAAAGTTTTATAACTACTCAAATTGCTATGCTGATAATATAATTCCTTTTATATCAAATTATATAAGGCAAACACTCATTTTCACTTGCTCTGTGACTTCTGGGCCTCATTGTATGTATGGGATGGACTCTTCAATAGAATTTGTTAGGTTTTATGACTGATAGACTATGTTGCAACCTCCTCAAATTCTTGCTGCTCTGATTCACAGGTGTGTACGGTTATGTGTGTGTGTGTGTGTAGGTGTGTCTGTGTGTGAGCAGCAGTAAATGGTGAGTTGTCCTCTGCTATGCTGACTGTCAGCTCACCCTCACTGGCTCTCAATGGAGCAAGAACAGTGATGCAGGAGGGTCACTGCTTTAAGAGTGAGACCGAGTGGCAGGGGTATCCTTGATTAATTAGAGCGCTGAGTGGAGTCTGTGTGATATATGTGTGGTGTTTCAACCTTTCACCTATTTCTCTTGCTTTGTCCGAAGGCAGCTGCTTTGCTGAACAGTCAGCGGCTTTATTGACGGCATTTTTACATGAAGGTACCGCCTAATGGTGCCGGAAAGATCGTGGTTACGAGTTGAGCGCACATGAATGCCAGAACAAAGTCGGAAATTATGAGTGAGAAACGTAGGATTTTCTTTGAGCTCCGAGTTTACGAGTCGGGTGTATGTGAGAAACATTGCGGAATCAATGGAATCAACATGTGTTGACGGTACATTTTCATAAATTTATCAAAAACATAAAAAGCTAAATACACCTGATGTGCATTCTTTGTTCTTCATTTTCTAGAAGTAGAGTTAAATAATTGTAATAATATAAAAAAATAATTGATTTAATTGTGAATGCCATTTTTACTTTGAAAAAAAATAATACCTTTGCCATCTAATACCCACTTAAAAATAATCTTCAAAAACACTAATAATTTAATAAGTCAAGTCACCTTTGTTTATATAGCGCTTAATACAATACAGATTGTTTCAAAGCAGCTTTTTACAGTGATGAACAGGAAGATAATAATCAAAGATGCAAACAAAATTAAATTCCGCTGTTAAGCAACACAATAGTGTGGATAATAAAACTGTTAAATATAATCTTTAGCTAATCTCAAGATGAATTTCCAGTTTTTACACTGTAAGTTCACTTGTAGCATTTAAAATGGAATTTAGTTTTTAGTAGCCTATTAGTTTACATTGTTTAAAAAACAAACAAAGAATTGTACAGAAATTTTACGGCCATTTATCGGTTCTTGTTCGTAACATGAAAATAAATATCGTGCATCCCTAATATCGTAAGCAGCAAAGGATACATCACCCCGATCAATTCATCTTAGTGGATTAAACATTGAATTCCTATGTGTATATTTGGTGTGAAGTCAGCACTACGGTTTGCTCTCTGTCACTTCAGTTTGGCTTTGACCTCTTCACGTAAGTGTGACAGATGAGTGATTTATTTAGAGCAGTTGATGGACACGATAAAAGGTCTTTAACGTACTTTGATCCTTCTCACCGCAGCTTTTCTCTCCCTAACATACACACAAGCATGCGCACACAGAGAGTGTGTCTGGTGGCCAATTAAAGCTCATCATGCGTATGTGTTGATGAAGTCATCATTAAGCAGTCGCTGGCTTCATTAAAACAGGGCTACTCTGGAGAACTCCTGCAGAGCATGCTATCCCACAACCCCCCACACACACTGCGGCCAGGGAGGGAAGGGGGAGGTGTCAGAGACCAATCACGCACAGCAGTTCCTAAGTGTCAGCGAGCCAGTTCAATAACAATAATGGTGGGAATGCTCATGATTTTCAGAGTTCGGTGTGTGTTCTGCCAATAACGTGTGCATTTGTGTGGGTGTTTGTGCATTAGGCTCCCTCCACTGCAGAAGCACCCTCGTCTTGCGCTGCCTGTTCATAGCATGGTGTGTCTCTCTGCATTCGGCCTGGCGCTGCCTGTTGCCATCAGCCTGTTCCCCCAAAACAGTCAGGTGAGCGCTCGCACACGCCTCCCTCCATCCATCCATCCGCTCTCGCTCTCCCTCTCACTTTCTCTCCGTCCCCTCTCTTTGTCTGCCATGAAGACGGTTATGGTTTAAAATGGTGTTTATTAAGCTGTTCATCCATATGGTTACTGAACTGCAGACATATGTGCTGCCAACTACTTCTATTCCTCTCCCACCCCTCCCCTCCTCCTCTCCTCTCACTCTCTCGCTCCCACTTTACACTTTTCCGAGGGTTCCAGACGAACGCTCCCAAAAAACTCCACTCCTGCCCCCCCCCCCCACCCCCACCTTTTCACACCCCACAGGATGTCTGTTTCAGATTCTGCCTCACACACTCACACACTCATTGCCATCTGTTTCTGAGCAAAATATTGCAAGTTTTGGCCCTGGTTTGGATATTTACCAGTGCTCGCTGCTTCGTTTTAGCTTTTTATGATGGCAGAAGTGTCAGTTTTGACTGTGAAAAATGCTCGAGGCTGGAAAGACATGGCACACTTTTAATTCTCATTTGACGAAATATTTTAAACATCTTAATGACTTAACGATTGCTGTGAATGGTTGTCTCACTGTAGCCAAAAGATCTGAATCTTAATGTCAGTACAAAAATAAAAACACTCCGTAATCAAAACAGCAGATTCATATGAGGTGATTTTATTTTACAACCTTATCCTGCCGCTTTTTAATATACGTGTTGTTTTTCTGTTCCTGCTGAAGCTGAATTAAATGAATATAATTGAGAGATAAATTAGCATTTTAATAAAGATTTAATGGAGCTGTAAACGCTGACCTGAAGAGTGTTTTGACTGCACCTGCTTTCTGTCTCTCAGATCCACGTGTCAGAGCTAGAGCCAGAGATCTCTGCTGCAACAGAGTGCAAGATCCTGACCTACAACAAGGGTCTTTAACCAGTAAATGCTTGACACCTAGCAACTAATGTCTTTGTCCTTCACTGTAAAACTCTAATGCGAACAGTAAAAATGCAAATTTTGATTGCGTCTCACGGGATTGTTCCTGCTGTGTGTGAATCCTCTCCCAGCCACACACAGAGGCAGACTCACACCATAGTGCTAATCATCCTCTTGCCTTGTACTTGAACATGGCAGTGGCAAATAGAGGATATTTGAATTTCCCTCTGATCTACTTACAATTTTACATAATTATCAGCCTTCTCACACAAACAGTTCTGTACTAACTGCCTGTAACTATAATGTTTGCAAAGTAATTGTCTCAAAACAATAAATAACCAGTTTTGACATTTTAAACTGTTGTAATTAGGAAAAAATGTTGTTTACACAGAATTCAGCTGCCTTTGTGTTATTTTCTCATAATTCCTTTACGAACCACAAATCATTCTCAGAATGAATAGGAATGTAACTGAAATTTAAAAAATATAATAATGCATTCACAAATGAAAAAGATATATAAAATATATATTCTATGTTATGATCTATATTACTTAACCTTATTTGTTACATTTTTGTCATTATCATATTAATTTTGTTTCTCTTTTTACTACAGCAACTGTAGTCTGAGGAATGCGTGAGTGTGTGTGTGTATAATGTGTGTGTATATATATATATATATATATATATATACAGTGCTGTCAAATCGATTTATCGGGAATAATCGCGTTTAACATAAGATTTTGTAAATATGTGTGTATGTGTATATATATATATATTATATTATATATAGACATACACACACATACTGTGTGTGTATATATATATATATATATATATATATACACGTGTGTGTATATATACACATAAATACACACACACAAATATATACACAGACTTTTAATGTTAGATGCGATTAATGCGATCACGATTAACCGATTTGACAGCACTATTTATATATATATATAATATATAGCAGAATATGCACCATTGCTACAGAAAGATTATTCTATAACTGTTTAATACAAGTTAGTGCTAACATACTTTATAAGACTGGATTTTATCTACAATTTTTTCAATGCATTAGGTACAAGCACTCAAATGTACGATAAAATCACATGCTTTTGCCTTTTGGCTTTGTTCGAGGAAATGCATAGAAATCCTTTAAAACATTATTAGCATGGTTAATGAATGGAAACAATGCACACAAGTCTACAATTCCTGCTTTACTTTCTTCCTCTTCCATCCATTCGTTCTATTGTTTTTAGATGATTACATCTCTTCTTTTATTTGGATGTGTTTGAGTTCCTTTGACAGGGCTGTAAAATGTTTCCTGTAAACTTCTATTTTATCGTTAGATCCATCGCTAGAGTGAGGGAGTGGACCTGTGTGTTTTTCTACCTGGTTGTCACGGGAACAGATCACAGTGGGCAGTAGTGAGGAGAGACATGACATGAAGCCGCATGTAGAATCATTAACCGTGCTAGACTGCCATACACAGAAACAGTTGCACAACATGCACACGACCGGATTAATGAGGGTAACATTGGTGCTTATTATTACCTTTTTGTTAGTTTTTGCTTTAATTTCAAAATCAAGATAAAAATGGTTTTATGGGGTTTTGCCTAATTAAAATTGGATTTCCTGTGAGCACAACAGTGCCCTGTAAAGACAAAACATCTTGTCAAAATCGAGTTATGACCGAATCAGGTCTATGAGAATATAATCTGTCCTGTGACAGACAGAACTGGCTTATCTATTCTCATCTTCAGAAAAAAACAATAAAAGAATTATCAAAATATAGCTACTTTTCATAAAATACCATTTTCGTTGTTCCAGTGTTGGTGTAGTTACTTGTAGTACATGCACCCACTGTGTAGTGTCACACTTGCACTTGTCATATATTCAGTAATTTGTCATAAGATACATTTTTCTACTGCATCCTTTCAATTTGCAACAACATAACATAGTTTGTTAACCCAGAAGACTGAGTTCTTGCAGCGAGCAGCCAAGCATGTTCCACTAGAGTGGCTCTCTACATCAACAAGCTTTTGTTTACCTACCATGGGTTCTCCATTACACCACTGTGCTTAAAGCAGTTCACACTGTAAAAAAAAAAAAAAGATCTGTGAAATTTACCTAAAAATATTAATAATCATAAAAAACCTGCAGCTGTGGTTGCCAGAATTTTACCTTAAAAAATATGGTATCAGCAATTTAAGTTTTATAGATTGAATTTAAAGGTGAACTAAGTCACTTTTTTACCTTAACCGAACAGCTTTGGAGTCATTGTAATGTTTATATTACTGATTTCGTGTTGAATGGTGGTCGTCTCGCACCCCCCTGGTGCCTGTGAGCCGCCGGCCTCAGTGTTAGGAAGTATCGTGTGATATCAGGTCTCGCGAGGTAACGAATTGCTTTACGGCAAAAAACAGATGTGATAAAATTCTGATAAAATGAGCATCAAACAGAAATAACCCGGCGCCGTATACATGTGGTGTTCGAGGCGCACATACAATACAGACTGCCGACAGTTAAACAGGGCGCGCGCAGCTCTTAAAGGGGCCATACCTTATTTCCACTCGTTACAGCGTAACTGACATCCTACTGAACAGGTACCGGTGTACAGGGGGAGGGGATCCGGCCATGAGTGCGAGCCATCTCTCCGCGAGTGCTATTCACGACAGTACAAGTACTCCACAGCGACTCTAGGGGTCGCTGTTTGACAAAAACGGAATTCCTACTTAGTGCTGCTTTAAAGGGGCTATATGTAAGAATTTTCATGTAATGACTCAGGACGTTTTTGCCGGGAAAATCAAAAGGATGTGATGTTTATGTCTGTTCATTGACACATGAAATGAATGCTTATAAAATGTTCAGGATAATTCCAAAAGAGCCGTTCTGTACTGTAATGTCAGTGTTTAATGCAAAGAAAAGGGATTAATTCAAACTATAGTCTCAAATATACTTTTTAATCAAACTATCGTAACAGTGTAATTTTAATTACATCATCTGTCAACATTATGCCGGTGAATTGCAGAAATTGTGCAAAAATATCCACATCGCTATGATCAGATGCTTTCTTAAATACAAAGTTCTGTCATGAAACTAGATGGTGCAAGCTGATATACAGGTCCTTCTAAAGGATATCGTGATAAAGTTCATTATTTTCCATAATGTAATGATAAAAATTAAACTTTCATATATTTTAGATTCATTGCACACCAACTGAAATATTTCAGGTCTTTTATTGTTTTAATACTGATGATTTTGGCTTACAGCTCATGAAAACCCAAAATTCCTGTCTCAAAAAATTAGCATATCATGAAAAGGGTCTCTAAACGAGCTATTAACCTAATCATCTGAATCAACTAATTAACTCTAAACACCGGCAAAAGATTCCTGAGGCTTTTAAAAACTCCCAGCCTGTTTCATTACTCAAAACCGCAATCATGGGTAAGACTGCCGACCTGACTGCTGTCCAGAAGGCCATCATTGACACCCTCAAGCAAGAGGGTAAGACAGAAAGAAATTTCTGAACAAATAGGCTGTTCCCAGAGTGCTGTATCAAGGCACCTCAGTGGGAAGTCTGTGGGAAGGAAAAAGTGTGGCAAAAAACGCTGCACAACGAGAAGAGGTGACCGGACCCTGAGGAAGATTGTGGAGAAGGACCGATTCCAGACCTTGGGGGACCTGCGGAAGCAGTGGACTGAGTCTGGAGTAGAAACATCCAGAGCCACCGTGCACAGGCGTGTGCAGGAAATGGGCTACAGGTGCCGCATTCCCCAGGTCAAGCCACTTTTGAATCAGAAACAGCGGCAGAAGCGCCTGACCTGGGCTACAGAGAAGCAGCACTGGACTGTTGCTCAGTTTTGCATGTCATTCGGAAATCAAGGTGCCAGAGTCTGGAGGAAGACTGGGGAGAAGGAAATGCCAAAATGCCTGAAGTCCAGTGTCAAGTACCCACAGTCAGTGATGGTCTGGGGTGCCATGTCAGCTGCTGGTGTTGGTGCACTGTGTTTTATCAAGGGCAGGGTCAATGCAGCTAGCTATCAGGAGATTTTGGAGCACTTCATGCTTCCATCTGCTGAAAAGCTTTATGGAGATGAAGATTTCATTTTTCAGCACGACCTGGCACCTGCTCACAGTGCCAAAACCACTGGTAAATGGTTTACTGACCATGGTATTACTGTGCTCAATTGGCCTGCCAGCTCTCCTGACCTGAACCCCATAGAGAATCTGTGGGATATTGTGAAGAGAAAGTTGAGAGACGCAAGACCCAACACTCTGGATGAGCTTAAGGCCGCTATCGAAGCATCCTGGGCCTCCATAACACCTCAGCAGTGCCACAGGCTGATTGCCTCCATGCCACGCCGCATTGAAGCAGTCATTTCTGCAAAAGGATTCCCGGCCAAGTATTGACTATTGAGTGCATAACTGAACATAATTATTTGAAGGTTGCCTTTTTTTTCTTTGTATTAAAAACACTTCTTTTATTGGTCGGATGAAATATGCTAATTTTTTTAGACAGGAATTTTGGGTTTTCATATGCCAAAATCATCAGTATTAAAACAATAAAAGACCTGAAATATTTCAGTTGGTGTGCAATGAATCTAAAATATATGAAAGTTTAATTTTTATCATTACATTATGGAAAATAATGAACTTTATCACAATATGCTAATTTTTGGAGAAGGACCTGTAGGTCCTTAACTGCTTGCAAGCACATCATTCTCTATAGAGCACAGCTGATTGGTTCCTGCTGTATCAGTAGCCATTAGCCAATTAGCTCGTTGCTCAACCTTCAAATACTTGGTCAGCATTTGCTATAGCAACGCTCTTTCAGAAACCCTCCATCTTCCCCAGCTCCACCTGTATAGATCTGCTTCAGGTAATTCATGTATATATTGTATTGTATAAGTTCCGTACTTGCTCTGCAGCTGCAGCAGCAGCGTAGCAGATCTGTTCCGCCAAGACCAAACATAATCAACATTGTAATTGTAATTATTGAGAGGGAAACTCGCAGCACATATTTACTCATCTAAATGTCGCTCTCAGCAGCGTGGATAGCGTCAGGATGTCGTTAACAGTATATTACTGTAAAGGTATTTCCAACTTCTTTTTACTTATAGCAAAGAACGAACAAGAACTTCCTCGTGAGTAAATTAGGCCTTGAATCATGTTCAGTCTCTTGTACGTTATGTGACTGATTTGGCCATCCGAGACTCGTATCACTATGGAGGGTGTGCATGAGCTGCAGTTCACCTAACGACCACCGGTGTCGCTAATAACAAGGCTTTCTGAATTCTACATGTAGCCCCTTTAAATAAAAATAAAATAAAAAAACTTCTTCTTTTTGCAAAGTGAATCACAAATAGCTTTTCCATAAGTTGAGGGAAATACTAATATACAAAAGGTGCACACAAATGCAAAACACCGTCATGGTAACACACAATACTAAAATAATGCAATGGACATAAATTTAACAACATAAGATGCAACAAAACCCCATTGTACATAACTGATAAGAAAACTGAATAAATGTTCAATGAAAAAAACATTAAATGTGAGCTTCAACACAATTCTGGGAATGTCAGTTTTCATTTTTTTTTTATTAAAAAAATTTATATTTAACAATATTTTAATGTTAAATTACATGAAATATCTCAGTAGACTATTACAGTTTTTCATCGTAAAGATGAAAAGGAAGATACGATCATCTTTTTTCCCTATTGTGACACATATCCTATAAACGGCTTCTTGAACAAGAAAAAAATAATGTAGATTGGGATTCGATTTTGTCCATCAGGAATTGATTGAATGGTTGGATGGTTGTGGTTTGCTATTGGTCGTTCTCAAGTAAGACAGTTTGCCCCGCCCTCGCGCCAGTAAACGCATCATCAGTAGCTATTTTGATTAAAGATTACTAGAGCACATTGATTAAAAAAAAGTTTTTTTTAAATTTTGATTCGATGATGACTTAAGTTTTTACTGTAGCATTTTGTCATTAAAATATAAAATTAGGATACATTTTACTAAGATTATTCAGTTTTTGCGATCACATAAAATGAAATGCGTGTTTGCACTCTTTTGTGTCGCGTGTGCACAAACAAACATCCATCTTTTTATCAGTCTTTTTACTTTCTCAGAGGAAAGAGTGCTCTTAGGGAATGCAAGGAATGTGTGATGTAAAGCTACAGAGGATGTGATGTGTGCACCTGCACACAGGATTGGATATCTGATGGCCTCAAAACAAACCTACCAAAACAATCTTTTTCACCCCATCTCAATTGGCTCTTGTCGTACTTGACAGTGATACTCGGGTGTCATCAGTCTGTGCATTTCACTCTCACAACCCTTGCTCACTCTGCAGGCTCAGGGTCAAATGTTGAGGTGAAAGGTCACCTGTGGGTTCGTTTAACACAATCTTCCTCTGTGTCTTTTGACAGGAAGTTAGCAGGGTGAGATGAGAGGAAATTTGCCGGCAGGCGTTATCCCTTTGTCTGAGTGTGTGTATGTGTGTGCAAACATTTTAAAAGAGTAAAGTTGTAAAAGAGTAAAGAGTAAGTTATAAAAACATATATTTACAATCAGTGAAGTTAAAGTATATATATATATATATATATTTTTTATAGAACAATAAGGTGTGAGCTACAAATGAGGTTTGTCTCTGAAACATCTTTATTAATTATGGACATTTTTTATCATGTTTTTCTTGAAAAGTATAGGTGAATGAACACTATAAAGAAGCTAATGTGTAAATTGGCAAACATTCATTTGTTTATGACTCCAGTAGAATGATCAAGGACCTGCATACATCAGCCTGTATTTACCAGTAGGCCTACTGAATGACAGCACGCAAATTACTCACACATACACACACGCGCACACACACACACACACTCAAACGCTCTAACACAAATTCCTACACTTTTTTTTAGATACAGAGACCATTATTTACACAGACACATACACCCTTGCCGTACAGGATGGCTCATGTTAAAACTGGCTGGTAAACTGATTCCTCACATTACTTAACTTATTTCAGGCTAGTTGCATTTAAAATAATTATGATAAACTGTCTCCAATTTCATAAAGCATTTCAAACTTTTTTTTAGGCAGCATAGTTTTGAACTTAATAAAAAATATCCATTAAAACTAAATTTAGTAATTGACTATGCACAGAAACAACAAAATAATCAGAATTAAAAATATTGACTTGTGAAAATTAACTTAATTGTTAGTTTTAAATACAATTTATACCCCCCCCCCCCCCAAAAAAAAAATTAGAGAAAGACATAGCCTATAAAATGATTTCTTCTTACAGGTGAGGCATATCTCGAACATTAGATAATTCCAGCAGAGGTATGTTAAACAACTATAGTGTTCAGTCCTGGATTAAGATTACTTGCTGACTGGTTTAATTCATCCATAACTCACATTTCCCACACTCACGGGGTCAGGTCCTCTGCAGTTAGGATTAGAATCTGAAATGCCATGACTAATAACATTAAATAAATAGTGCTTTTCTTGGTCTTGTGTGTTCATTTGGGCAGTGTTTAGGTTGGTCTTAGGCATCAGACATGACATCTATGTCCTCAGATCCGTTCTGTTTGGTGGCAATCCTCCAGCGGTTAATGTGGTGGCTTCCCTTCTTCTTCTGTGTGCACTCCGGGCCCTCTTCCTCCAGCTTCTGTCGCTTATACTTGGTCCTGCGGTTCTGAAACCACACCTTCACCTGAGGGGAGCACAAGACAGGACATCAGTGCCATAAACGTTTTGGTGAGTATGGCTACACAGTTGACAGTTTGCCCGTCATAATGGTAAAGGCAACAGACTGTGAGTGATGCAAGAAAGTTCAAACGCATAATCGAACCATTTTTACACCACATGACACGCAGTCCACGACGAGACTACGTTCGAATTCATTCATGTTATATAATGATACTATGTAAATTTTTTTACACTTGTTTCAGAACTGTGTTGTGTAGGCCTATCAGAAGAAATCCAAACGAATACGTTTCTTCAGATAATACCATATAAAACATATAGATTTTACATTTTAATTTAATTCAAATAGCCTACATCCACTAATAACAGATTTTCAAAATATAAAGCAGGCATTTAGTGTATTAGGCCTTCTAATTAAAAAGACGGGTTTATTTTTGCAACAACGCTGGTTCACATTTCACACATGTCAAGAGATTAATATGCCTACTGGAACATAGGATAGCTGAAAACAACCGCGCAGAAGTGGAAAAAAATAGCTTAGGCCTATTATTTTTATTTTATTTATTTCTGAAGTGGTCTCATGCGCACTATATATTTAATACATTCTCAAGATGCTGACTGAATCCTGAATCGCTTTCCATAAAACATAGACTTAGCCTATAAATAAATAAAACAATTCACAAACGTCACGTGGCTATAGCCTAGTATTGGCCAGTATTTTACCAAAATTGCCTCTCTCATTAGATGTGTGAATAGCCATGTCAAGCCTGTTTGGTGTTATTTTCGTTTTTAGGTTAGTTTTTGCAATAAAACACCACCACAAAAAAAGTATAAAAAAGCAGCAAGAGAACATCATCATTCTCAGCGTCAGACCTAGATTTTGTAAATTAAAATATGCTATGTTGCGATGCTTTAAATCATGCCAGTTGACGAGTTCGAAGCCATATGGCGAATGTAGACGAACATAAAAGAAAACAATTACTTTGCCACCGTTTGGATTTTTGGAAATGTAAAACTCAACAAATCAAATATATTTTCTTCTGACATTTAAAATTATGTTTTAAAAATCATCTTTACATCATTGTTTTAACGGATCAGGGTGAATGGGTTTATTCCTATAGTGGCATCTGTGCAAAGCAACTAATATCCCTCTGAAGTCTTGGCCTAAAATAAAATTATATCACAGTCAGAGCGCCGCAAACAACCCAGCGTCCTTTCAGACTCGGGGATTCTGGCCCGTTTCTGGATTTAGCAAGCAGCCCAAGTGTTGTTTACATTATCGTGTAGGCCAACAGCAACAGCTTGTCAGTACAACATTAATCATTCAAAATAAAGAAGTGTCTCGTTAATATACTCCCCAGTTTCCCTATATTAGGCCTACACATTTACTGTTTAAACATGTTTATCTTTTTTAAACGAACATGTAGTTCTGCTGCTCCAATAATTTTAATTAGCAATAGCCTACTTTTTGTCTGTAATTAGGCTACTTGTGAAATAGTTAGTTCCACGGGGCAATTTCTCTATTGAGCGGCTACCAAATACCATTTTTACTTTAAGTGTTTTAATAGATTTTATATGAACATGGGAACAGCATGTTGTTGTTGTGTGTTGTAGCATGCGTTTCCTCGTGTTTACCTGAGTCTCAGACAGACTGAGGCTGTTAGCGAGCTGTTTCCGTTCGGCTCCGACTACATAATGGTTCTTCTCGAAGGCGCGCTCCAGGCGCAGGAGCTGAGAGGGCGAGAACGCGGTGCGGATCCGTTTGGGCTTCCTCGCGAAAGGGCCGTGTAGTAACAGCGTGTCCTGTGAGACGTCGTTCCCTGAAATTATAATAATACTAATCAATAGAAGACAACTTGATTATAGCAATGTGATTCTTTTTGAGAGTAGTTCAGTGAAATTGAAGCTACAGCACGGGACAACTTGAAGTAATTAAACCCAAGAAGAAAACTAGCCTAAGAGGGACCATGAAAGCTTTCTGGGTTTAGCCCATATTTCAACAAAAGTTAACACCACTATCGACTTTATCAAAAAGTGTCAAAAATGCAGACTACCCTGCTTTAATGCCTATATTATTTGCCCTATAATTGATTAAATAATATGAACTATAGTTTATTCGTTATAATTTTAGAATATTTGAATACTGTTTGAACATTATGCCATTCCAACTTCTTTTTGAGCTTTTGTAATTTTAGCTATCCCTTCTATTTTAGTCTGATTTTTGGAAGTAGCCTAATTCTGTAAGAAAAGTCTAAATGATTGACTACATAATTGAATAGGCCTACTATTTTAAGCGATTTATTTGTAACTGACTAAAAAAAATATTTTTTAAAACATAAAATCATGGTAGCCTAATTGGCGGAGAGTTGGCTACCGCTAGGACATAATAAAATAGAATAAAATGTTTTTCTATATTTGTCTTTGTATATATTTGTCTATAAAATATAAAGTCCAAATAATGTAAGCAATTTGTATTATTAATGGCCATGTAACGAGTTAAACACTCATTACGCATAGCTTTGCAACCTTATGGAGTATAAAAATGTAGTCTGTCGATTTTAAATGTTCTCAGTTAAAAAGGTTTCACGATCAAGTGTTGTTTAACAGTAATTCATTTTTAAGAACAGCCATTATTTAGACTTTTTTTATGCACTTACCCTCATATATTAGATTCTTCTTTAAAGGTCATCACAGTTAGCTAAATTATTAACACTGTTAGCTTAATAAATATTTGACCTTTATATAGGCTAAGCGTTTTGTGGCCAATTAATTCAATTCAATTAATAGGCTACATTCGTTTACTTTCATCGTCTTTGGACAACAGCTTGAACACCAGAAGAGGACAATTTATCGAATGACCTATGGAAATTAAATAGTGATAATAATGAGCTGTAACGAGTTCATCAGAGCAGATTCGTCATCTGTCATTATCTCTCGTTGCAAAGACAGTGATTAGAAGGCGATAGCGTGCAATAGTATTATAACAAAATAACAATAATTAGGCTAAGTAAACCAATAAGGTAAAAAACAATTAAAGGTTAGACACTAAAATAGAGGCAGCAGCCTAATATTATGTTAAAAAAAAGAACTCACAAACGACATTAAGACTATATTTAAACATCTCTCATTTTGCCGTCTGAATTCAAGATCAAGCAATAACTGTTATCAGAGCTGTTCTCCAATGCTGCTACTATAAGCTCGAACATAATGCATTCATTTTGGGAGATATAACATTGAGCTTTTGTGCGTGGACAGCTTTGTCTAAATCTATGTGTCCCTCTTTAAGTATCGCCTCAGGGCATGGCCAAAGCTGTAAGCATATCATTTGTGATTTTCATTTGCAGCTTAACCGGAATTACCTCCCAATACAAACTCCATCTATCAGTGTTATCCCGCTCCACAGTGGTAATAGCCTGTTGCCGCGGGGGGCATTTATGAGAATTGCCCATTTCAAGAAAAGTTCAGAGAGACACGCACCGGCGCACAGCATTGTATTTTACCTATTCTATTATTGGACACGTATCCTAGGTACGTGTAAAAAATATGCAAAGGCTATTTTATTATTTTTATTTAGGTGAAAAAGTGGTTTAATATATCTCTTAATGCGCGTGGTTGACAAATATACAGAGTTGGATTCTTACCTTGAAACCGATGGCCAAAAAACCTGTTCCTTAAGACCCACGGGTAGAAATTGAGTGGCTCACGGTGCTGCGTGCCAAAGAAGTGCGGGTGCTGCAGGTGTGTGCTGCCGAGCGGGTGTGGGTGCATGCTCAGAGGCGCGTGGTTCACAGTCTCCGAAAACACCAGTTCAGGGTTTGGATAGAGCGCGCGGCCTGCGGGGCTTTGATACCCGTTAAGAAAACTGTCAGCAGGCGTCGAGTAGCTTAGGGCGGTAGGGCGAATGGGGTCTTCTGGTGTTAAAGGGTTTTCCTTCGCCACCAAAGACTCAATGGTAAAACAGCGCTTCCCCGTTGCCGAGAACATTGTCCGTGACGGTACCAGTACAGTCCAACAGATGAGGTTCGCCTTTACGTCCTTTCACAACTCCTTTAGTGACCTCTATCAGCAGCAGTATTTAAGTCAGACATAAACTAAATATAAAACACTTTAATGTTCCCTACTTTTGCCAATTGCTGTGTAATCCATCGATCCACGAGTGTCCATAAATCATGAAAGAAAAAGTGAGAATAGAAGCTCGAGACCCATGGATTTGGATTTGAGGGACGCCACACAGTCACAGTGTCGTGTGAGACTGCCACTCATTGGCGCATGGAGCTCGGGCGGTGGGCGGGTCCTATGTTCATTTGGGTCAGATAATGAACTCTATTAGTTTGATCATTCACTTCAATGGGGCTGCTTCCAACAGGTCAGTTCCTACGCTAGTAGATCATCAAAAACTATTTTCCTTGTTGTCACACTTCCAACTATGGGCTACGCAAGCCTTCAGGGTGTAGACTGGGCTACTACAATCTGCAGTTCATTCCAGCCTTTCGTTAAAAGGAGGCTATAGCAAAAGGTTTGCTTTTGAACTTTTCTTCATTTAACTCATTTAAATATATAGATATGGGCCAACATAAAAAGCCTATTTTTTTCCAATTAGGCAGCGACGATGCTGTGCCGTAGTGTTCCAAAATATAGCCTAGTACAATAGTAAAAACGTGGATTTTTCTGTTGCTTTGATTGCTTTTTTTTTGCCACAAAAACCACAAGAGCATATGAAACAAATATAAGATTTTTTTCAATTGAGTAAACCCAGAATACACATCCCTGCTGTAGCCTACTAAATTTGAAATCTTAATAATGTTGGCATCTACAGATTTGAGAGTGCACTAAATGCATTTGTTTAGTTCTCTGATAAATATGCCTGCAATGAGTTTTATTTATTATCATTCATCCAACTATAGGCCTAACTTACTTATTTATCTAGATGATAAATTAGATCATTTCGGTATAAAAATATATTTTTATTTAGGCTACTGAGCTAATAGCCTAATCATCATCATATTATTAATAATAATGATTACCATGCCGTTGGGAGATTATTATTATTAATATAACTATTATAAATAAAACTATTTTAATACAATACATAGCCCCTAAAAGCTAATAATAATAATTAGTATCACTATTTCAAAGATATAATTTTATTAGAACTATAGAATAAAGCACTTAATTAAAAAAACAAATAACAAAAAAAGAAAGAAAAAAAAGAAAACAGAAAACCGAATCAGCTCTGCATGACGCGGACATTACTGACCAGCCTAAAGACCTAAGTTCGTCTGTACAAACTGTTGGCTATTACAGTCATCGTTTTTAGTCTTTAACCAGTGCCTGTCGATTAAAATGGGAAATCGTTGACCCGTTTACGCAGTAACCTATTAACTTGGTCACTGCGTGTTTCCAGAACTGCACATCGATAAGATCTCATGTCAGGCCGAGCCGCCTACACCTGTTCCCGAACCCTCACCCGCGGGCAGCGGACTGGCCTGCTACAACACGGCATTGTGAGGCTTGTGCGACGGAGTGGGTAAATTATTGAAAATATTCCGTCTCAGCTCAGGGTTTGACAAGAGTTGCATGAAGAAGCCTTCAAGCGGCATACCTCACAAACTTCTGACTCGCTATTAATTTACAGGCCCATGTATATTTAGGGACTTGAGTGGCTGTTCAGCGACCGTTTCATGTTGTGTTTTTAAAGGTAATGATTAGGCTAAATGTTTGACTGGCTCGTTAACTCCAGTGCGCATTAGAAAATCATTACAGTGGGCAGAACAACATGTTGAGCGCCTATTTAGAAAGCAAAACCCCGTGAATGCGCACAGTCGTGCTTTAAGATGGACCTCTTTGCACAATCAAAGGAATAAAAACATTTGAACAATAAACAAAATGACCTTTATTAGTTGTTGTGCCAAGATCATTCAATAAATTGTAAATCGTTGAACGTCGAAAAAAATGTTTTACGTACTTGATAACTGACAAACATGAAGCATATTTAGTATGCCTACTATACATTATATGGCAAATAAAGCAACAATATCTTCTGAATTGGTCTTTGTGAATATTGTTTCCCCCGTCAAAACACAACTTTAGACTTTGCACATATCTGCCTTTCCTATATGTCCTGTTATTAAGTCAGACATACCACTTGTTAATTTGAGTCTTTAAATTACTTAAATTACACTTAATTAAAACTTCCAGTACTTTCAAGTGTCCTTGGCATTTAGTGTTTTGATTGGATGAGTGGCAATGGATCTCTGTTGCAGCAGTTGTAAACATTTTGCATGCATCCTCTAGTCATAAAAAATGAGTAATATTGACTTAAAGATATTCTCAATATCTGAAATGAAGGTGGTAGCATTCACATCTCTGTTCATATTAATTACTCAAGTGTTAGTTAATGTGTCTGTTTATTATCCTTGAGATGTGCAATGCTGACTTTTTGAATGGACCATCATCGGTTACAAAAACTCAGCATTTTAGTCTGTGCTCAACCTTTCTGACAGAGCTGTGTCCATGGCATTGCATAAAATGAGCAGTGAATCATAATTTGCACTAAATGTCTCACAAATTATATTTTCATATTTCATATCTACCCTATATAATTCCCCATGCACTTCAAGAACATGGTATTTTGGCATTCTGAAAAACATTTTCATAGATCTTTTCTGTGCCATACACAGACCTAAAGGTGCAATGAAGTGACAGGGAAAGAGAGAGAGACTCAATGTTTCCGTCTGCCACTCTTCTCTCTTGTTCCATAATTAAGTGCTCAAGGAATCTGTAATGAATGCTAATGGGGCAACCAGCCATCTGCACAAACACAGAATTAAAAACTACCATGCTGAGAGAGAGAGAGAGAGAGAGAGAGAGAGAGAGAGAGAGAGAGAGAGAGAGAGTGATGGGAGGATGGGAGACAGACTTAAACCTTTCACCAAAAGGAACCCTAAAGGCAGCAAGGCAGCTCTCACTTTCTCTATCCCATCCCCTGATTTCAAGTGAAGCAAGACACTCAGATTCACAGCACCTCAAAAAAGAAAAAAGAAATAAAAGAAAATAAAATAAAAGAAGAACTTAACCACTATAGGACACACAAACATGCAACTCTTATGCAAGCGAGATATGTACCTACTATTTGAACATATTTTGGACACGTTAAACAGCCAAAATTACATTAATGCGGGTGGACTAAATTCTAAATATTTATTATATATTACAAAACAATATTATTTGATTGTTTTTATCATTTATGTTATATTGCGGCCTAATATATTATTTGAATATTTATGTAATATATTACATAAATATGACATTTATGTATTTTTATGTAATTATATTTCAATGTTTATATTTTATGAATTATATATAAATATATTTTAATATATAACTTAAATATCAATATATAATTTAAATATATGTAACTATGTTCTGTTACAATTTCCAAACCCTCACATTCATCATTGTCCTCTCATATTTGTCTAACCACAAATAACTAGCAGTTACTGTTATTTCCTCAAATTTGAACACATTACTTGTGTTTGGAGTTTCTGTTTGTCTGTCCTGCTGTCCGCTGCTTCCCTCTAGTGGTGGAAAATGTGTATTTGGAAACATAAAGGAGAAATTATGGTCATATGTATTTTAATTAGTGCATGAAGAAGAAAAAAGGTTTTGTTTTAAGAGCATTTATTCTATATGAATATTATAATATTGTTCAATTGCAGCAGCAGTTTGTACACCATGTAAAATAGGCTACATATCATTTTATTAACCCTTTACCTGTCACCCCTCCTTTTGATAATTTACATTAAAATGCACTATACAAACTTAAATGGTTGTAATTCAAGAATGCTTTGGAATATAGACCTAAGTTTGGTCTTGTTTTAATGAAAACAATCAGCAGATTATTACTAAAGTGAAAGCACTTCAAAAAAATAAAGTATGAAAAAGTTATGGAAGTTATAATTTACAGTAAATCAAATATACTTTATTAATATATATATTTTTAATATAAAATAAATATTTTACAAAATATTTTTTATTATAAAATTACTATAAAATGAAAGCTATATATCTAACCAAGTTGTGTTCCAAATGTAAAGTTGATAGCACACAAATTGAAGTTCCCATGAGATTTTGTTTAGGCGTTATACCAAAAATAGCCACCGGGTGCCATTGAATTCCATTGAATTTAATTGTATACATTCTGCCATAACAAATTAATACATTTCTATCCAAATATCACTTCTGTCACTAAATATGGAACCTTGAGACTCAGACCTTTCTGACAATATGTGTTTTGTCAAGATTAGAAAAGGTTTTGATAATAAATTATGAAAGATGATGCCCAAAAGAGGAGGAGCCTAATAAAAAATACCGTTTCTATGGTAACGCAACGTCCAATTTCAAAACGGTTTTCACAGGATGAATTCTGAGTTCGTAAGCTTTCAAATGATACCTAATTTATGATAACTACTAAAATATGTGATATAATAATAATAAAAAAATGATATATATATATATATATATATATATATTATACTTTTTAGAGGACTTCTTACTTTACTTTTTAAAATATAATTTTATCTTTTTTTATTGACAAATACTAGATTATGTTTTATTATGATCTTTTAGCACTAAAAACCAAAGTTTCAATTATTAAAAGTGTGTGCGTCGACTTTTTGTGACAAAGGTCAGAAACTCCTGTAATGACGTCGATTTTTTGAGGCGCACTCTTGTCATAAATTCATATGTTACTGTTCATTCATAATTTGTAAGAAAAAAACAGCGCTAAAATATCTATTTAGGAGTCTTAGACCTTTCCAACGATATATAGTTTGTCATGACTAGATTAGGATTTAATAGTAATATAGTGAAGTAAATTTAGGTTGCCCGTATACGGGCAGGTGACAGTTATGGCATGCTGCTTGCTTAATAACAACCTTAACATGACAAGGTGAAGCCAGTGGACAATAGTGATTTTCGGACATCTTAGATTCAAGTATAGCCTATTTATATTTCTATCTTTGTGGAGCATCATAATACAAAGGAATAGTCATGTAGACTGTGCGGACAAGACAAGACAATACACTGCCTCTAATTGATTTCAATTCAACTCGAAGAGCATTTAACACATTGGCCTAATATGTATTCTTTAACAGTTTTGTAATGAGATACCATTATTTGATGAATTTTAACACAAACATCGGAGGATTTGTTGAAAGTGGACTTTATTGTGTATCTCTTTTGACATTTAGAAACATTCATACTAACAA